TCCCTAGATCTCTGCCTGTTTTGGATGGATTTCTGCCCCCTCCCCACCCCCTGCAGGCTTACCCACTGCCCCACCCCAGGAGGGTTGTTTGGTCATTTATTTACCCCATCCCATCTCCAAACAAATCCCCTACCCCACCCACACAGTCCTGACATATAAGTATACCTTGTTAATATACAGTCTTTGATATATGTATCTGGCTCATAGAAGTGGCACCGTATTTCTTCCAGCATTTCAAAGTCCATCTCACCAACCGGAAGGGATGGCAGCAGGAAAAGGGATACAATGGGCCTAGGACCAGTAAGGATCACAACTTGTCAAATATATCTTCTTACCAGCATTTGACTAGGTAATGTCTATGATATCTATCAGCAAGATATTCCAGAGATCAACATGAATTTTCACCTCATGCACTGGAAATCCTTTCTCAAGAGCATACACAGATCAAAGCTCAAATGCGAGGACTTCTTGTTTCCCCATATTGCAACTAATGGGGTGGTTCATACGACACAACAGATGAGCTATGATATACTTCAAGGAATGCTTACAAGCTTTTGCAGTGGAGCAGGTGTTGACAAGTGATACACTACCCATTCCTTTCAGAGGGGTGGTGCACAGTACTGGTTTATGTTTGCACCATTGGATCAGTGTTGGACATTGAACTGCATATGCTGGTGGGGTGGATGGGCTGTTGGAGAGCATATAAGTGTTAACATCATAACAACAGGTGCACAATATTGACCTGCCAGTCTTCCAGGTTGATACACTCATAAAGTATCTAGTGGACTCGCTTCAAAGCTATGAAAATGGGCACAGCGATGCCTTGCACCCTGTCATGCTCAACAAGACGATTGCTGCTGGAGCCAGCAAGCCTGTTGGTCTTGTGCCAGTGACGAGCAATGACATCCATCAGTTGAAGACGTCGCTCGCGGCAGGGCTAGATAGCTTGACGGTTCTTTTCAATGCTCAACAGCAGGACAATTTTGTCCATCTCGGGGATTCTGTCAAAAGGTAGGAGTGTTAAAAGGATGCCCGCATGCAGAGATTGGCTGAGAATGCACCATATCAAAGTCCTTCCATCTTTCGCACTCCCACCCCATCTGAGCCTTCGCCATCCCCTCCCTCTCTCCCACTTCCAAATGTCTCTATTCCTGATTTGGGCCATGGACATGGTGCCTGGCGTCATGCTCTTTCCCAGTGGATGGAAGTCGATCCAGTAACTGGGTATGCGTTGAAGGACTGGCCCCCTGATTGGTATACAGGGTCTATGTGGACAGTCATGGTGAGTAAGTGAAACCTTTGACAAGTGGTTTACAAAGAATATGAAAGGTAAGGAAGAAAATGCACCATGATTTCCTCCCCAAGTCCATCCTTACTGACTTGCACGCAGGCTTGAATTGGACAAGGTGCGCTTCATTCAAGAGTACCCTGAGGCTGACAAGAGTCTGACCAATCTGGTCAATCTTATCAGAAGACAGAACAAGAAGACTTGGACAAGCAAGAATGGCTCACCAGAGCAATGGGATTCACCATCCCTCATCAACTAATCACACGTAGGCAATGGGGGAGGGAGCTAGCATCAATTTTAGACATAGTGCAAATCCATAATCTAGTTTACAACTCACCAATTCATGTGATTGAGCAAGCAGAGATGAGTGGTTGGGTCTTGAAGACCCCAAACATCCCAGGCATGATGTAGCAGTGCCAATGATGTTTGCTGAAGCAAGCTGGGGACATGGGCTCTCAGGGAGGGATGCTCATGTGTGTGCTTGTGCACTTATCAGTGTCGGAAGCAGGACATGACAGCATGGAGGGGGGCCAAGATGATAGTGTGGGGACTCGAGAGAAGGGGAAGAGAAGAGGAGGACAATGCTCAAAGGCAATGCAAGGCTCAAGCCTACTCAGTGTTTACTCAGTGTTGATGCCTATTTTTAAACCTGGGCCAAGGGTTTGCCCTTTTTAAGGGAATACACACAAAGAGGAAGGTGCTAAATGAGAAGGGACGCAGTGTGGCGGCTGCCCTGCACGTGCCACATGGAAGCAAAGAGGGGAAAAGAGGCGCGTGCATCTTAAGTGGTGGGGAGGCAAGTGCCTGACCACTGTGGAGAGGCCCCACCCTGAGCCCCAAGCCATGTGGAGGGGTGGAACAGAGGGGAACCTGCCAGTTACGTGCGCAGAATTCCCTCATCAGGCTTAGGTTCACATGTAATCTGGGCCCAGCCGGTAAATTCATTGGCATAAGTTTAGGAAAACATGAGCTAGATTCATTTGCAGATGTGTCTTGTGCATACCGTTTCTGGTCACATGAGTATGGCTGCATGGTGTTCAAATCGGGTCCAGCGTTTGTGATTCTGGTGGTTCCTTGTCATTCTGAGAGCTCACAACACAAGGACATTCTGTTATTCAAAAGTTTGAGCTGTTTGAGACATTCAAGACGTACGAGACGTATGAGCCATAGGTGGCTGTGAGCCTACAGGCCTCAGGCCTCAGGTCTCAGGACCATTCACAGAGATTCTCTGCCTGCACAGCTAGTCAAGTGCCCCCAGAAGAAAGTAACTTAGAAGATAATAATTATGATTAGCTTGCTAGTTCCTGAGACTTAGACTGTCTACGGTCTGGACCATGGCCCTCTGGCCCTGGGTCAGCCCTGGCCTGGACCTGAGGGCCAGGGTCCATCAGAAAAATGACTTTGTTCCTCAGTGAGCTCCCAACTACCCTGGGGATCTCTGAGGGACCTGGGAGATGCAGAGATGCAGAGATCCCAGACATCTTTAAAGGCAGACCCACGTACTTGGTTTTGTACTCAGAGACCCTCAGAGACCTCTTAGAGATCCTGCATGCACTTTTGAGAGATCCTTTTGAGCACCTCACATGCTTTGAATATCTCTCATATTTCTTAAATTCGGATAATAAATGCAAAAAAAGATTCAATTAAGGTACTAAATACTATATACATACATGTACAAGATCTATACTACTCATATATTACTCTACAATCAGCTATGTCTGTCATTCTAGCACAAGAGAAAATATTAGTAGTGCTATTAACCAGGAAGAGAAATATCACATACCTAATATGCTTGGATGGCTTGCTTGTGGGTGAGCGAGGCAGGGTCAGGGCATACACACAAGAGGGGATGTTGTCCTCATTGACCTCTGTGGCCTGCATATATGGCCCAGTGGAAATGATGGAGTAGCCCAATAATCAGAGGGGAAGGGTGTATAGTGCAGTGTTATAGCCAACGTTGGTGGGGTGAGGATGCACATGCATCTAGGTAGACTGTCTAAGGTCTGGGTCAGGGCCAGGCTGGGCCATAAAGGGGTCAGGCCAGGGCTGACCCCAGGCTGGCCCTAAAAAAACACCTATTTTTTAATTGGTTTTTGTAATTAAATAAGAATATTTATTTTATACATACTATACAGAGGGTATTCTATGAGGCAATGGCGAGACAAGGGCAGGGTGAGATGAGGGCAATGGCAGCAACAAGGCGATGGCGAGACAAGAGCAGGTGCGAGCAGCAAGGTGACGGTGAGATGATGGCCGGGCGAAGTGATGGCAAGACAAGGGCAGGGGCGAGGTGACAATGGCGACACAATGACAGAGGCAACACGATAACAGGGGCAAGGTGAGGGCGAGTGATGGTGAGTGAGGGTGGGGGCAGGGGCAAGGCAATGGCAATGGCAATGGCAATGGCAATGGTGTGAGCAGTGAGGCGACGGCGACACAATGGCGAGGGTGTGAGACAAGGGTGAGTGACAGTGAGTGAGGGTGGGGGCAGGGGCAACAGCAACAGCAATGGTGCGAGCAGTGAGGCAAAGGTGAGGCAATGGCAATGGTGTGAGCAGCTGCCAGCAAGGCAAGGGCAAGGTGATGGCAGGGGTGAGACAACGGTGAGCAATGGCGAGCAAGGGTGGGGGTAGGGGTGACAGTGACAGTGATGGTGCAAGCAGTGAGGCAAAGGCGAGGGGATCACAGGGGGCAAGATGAGTGCAACAGTAGTATTGCCACGACTCGAGTCACTTGATTTCAAAAATATGCTGCTGTATTCCTAATAAAATAGCTAAAATTATGAAAATATTTGTGAAACTAGAAAATCAAAAAAGCCGAGGGGTTGTCTGCAGACTCTAAGTGACATACTTCTTATTTCTCACACTATCTGATCGACTATGTTTGTAGCTGCTTTTTGAGCCAAAATGTAGTCAATCAAATAGCATGAGAAATAAGAAGTATGTCACTTAGAGTCTGCAGACAACCCCTCGGCTTTTTGATTTTCTAGTTTCACAAATATTTTCATAATTTTAGCTATTTTATTAGAAACAAAGCAGCATATTTTTGAAATCAAGTGACTTGAGTCATGGCAACACTATGCAATGGTGCAAGCAGTGAGTTGAGTGATGACGTGGCCTTCTGCAATGGGGCTGAACCAGGTTAGCCCCAGTTCAACCCAAGGTCTGAGGGCCAACTGACCTTGGCCCTGGCCCTCCCTAAAGGGCTGGGTCTGCCAGGCTGCTGGCCCTTGACCCTGGCCCTCAGGTCCAGGCCAGGGCCAACCTGGGGCCAGAGGGCCACAGACCAGACTGTAGACAGTCTACATCTAGGGGTCCTGAGTGGTCAGTAAAGGCAGTAGTTGATGCAGTCATAATGACACACCTTGGTGGTTCCCCCTCATTGGGACCCCCTTTATGCACTCCCTACATTAGGGCTCAGCAGATGCTGCAGAGTGGTCTTATATGTGAGGCAATGAGGTGCCACTGACGATACCTACTGAGCATTAATATCAGTAGAGTGGCAGGACGAGAGAAATGGAAATACTTAGCTGGGCTTGAAGCAGTGCCAAATACATGGCACCCATCTCACAGGAACAGGTTTGGCATAAGAAGTGGCCAGCGTCGCAAGAGAGAAGTGGGAGGAGGATGGTGTTGGAGTTCAAGTTCAGTTTCCACTGATTTAGAAGTTGAACATTGATCACATGAGTGTGGGAATTGGGAGACAAGCTGTCTACCCAAGGGCAAAATTTCCCCTCCAGCTATAGTTCAAATAATGGCTCAAATACTCAAAAAAAAAATGCTACACAGGGGCCCATAGATAGGAATACAGTGGGCAAAAAAACTGTTCGCATGTTGGTTACTTTGAAAAGATTGACTTGTAACTTAAAAAGTAGTAAAGATAAAAATACCAAAATATTCTCTGATATACTTCAGGGTCTTGACTACCAAATTCAAAAGGAGTCACATGATTTGGCAAAGAAATGAATAAATAACAGTAAATATGATTTGGCAGCTCATTCGAACAGTTTTTTTGCTGGTTGTTAGACTACTAATAAATCATAACTACTAGTACTTTGTGTGTCCACCCTTGGCTTTAACTACCTCTGCACATCTTCTAGGCATGCTAGCTATTAGATTCTGCACCACTTCCTTGGGTATTGCATTCCATTCCTTCTCAACCCTTTCCCATAATTCATGAATTCCCTTGGGTGGAATTTCATATTCATTGAGCCTTCTTTTCAAATGTTGCCAAAGATGTTCAATGGGATTGAGGTCTGGAGATTGTGCAGGCCATATAAGGACCCTGAAACCATGGTCTTGAAACCACTTCTTGGCCAACTTGGAGGTGTGCTTGGGATCATTGTCTTGCTGAAAGTAGACATCATCCACCTCATGACCAAACCACTCCAAGGATTTTAGAAGCTCATCACCTAGAATATCAGTATAAAGCTGGGCATCCATCTTACCATCAATTCTGGTAGCAAATCCCACACCTTCCCATCCCATACAACTCCACATCATCAAGTTTCCTCCACCAAACTTCACTGTTTGCTTGATTCTCCTAGGGTCTTGCCTGTTTTCCTTGTCTATCCACATCTGATCTTTGCCATCTGACCCCAACCTTTGGTTTCATCTGATGGTTTCATCTGACCACCAGACCCTTCCCCAGTCATCCACAGTCCACTCCAGATGCCTTTCTGCAAATTCCAATCTAGCCCTCCTATGCTTTTTGGTCAACAAAGGCTTCTTCTGTTTGGCTACTGAGACCATGCCAGTTGACTTGAGTGCATTCCTAACTGTTTGAGGAGTGACATTTTGCTTGTTGATAGTGGTTATAGACTTGGCAGCTTGCACTGCATTCTTGATTTTTCCAGTATGAATTGCATGCTTGGTATAGGTGATATTGGCACTGGTAAGCTTCTTTGGTCACCCTCCTGAGGAGACAGATACTTTAGAGCAGTAGTTTTGGTGGATTTTGGTGATAGAGCCAACACTTGCACCAGTCTGTGCCTTGATAGAGGAATAAGAGTGACCAGAAGTGAGGAGGGAGACAATAGTGACAATAGTGGCTTTGGAGAGGGGTTGCATGATTGATTGGGGAATAGAGGGCTTGATGATAGCTGTTATATATCTATTTGATATATAGTCACATGATATTGTTGACATTTATTATGAAACACTCAACAAAACCATGTGATAACATGTGACTTTGGTATTTAAAGTACTAGCAAAAAAACTGTTCGAATGAGCTGCCAAATCATATTTACTGTTATTTATTCATTTCTTTGCCAAATCATGTGACTCCTTTTGAATTTGGTAGTCAAGACCCTGAAGTATATCAGAGAATATTTTGGTATTTTTATCTTTACTACTTTTTAGGTTACAAGTCAATCTTTTCAAAAGTAACCAACATGCGAACAGTTTTTTTTGCCCACTGTAGATGTCAACTTCCAACATTAATTGACTAGAAGAGGATAATAAAGTGGTTATTGAGTGACATACTGTTGCTCAAGTCGGAGTTTGAAATGACTTCAAGCTTTGAATGATGTGTGCTTTGCATGAGTGCACCACCCCATATCTCAAGAATGAGAAAAGCTATAGGTCTGAAAATTTGCAGGCAGGTAACCAACATGTCCTTGTTAATGTATTTCAAGTTACAGATTAATAGCTTCCATATCGACTGAGATATTCCAATGCGGGTTTTTGAAAATGTGCACCTGTCATATCTCAAGCAATACTTAATGCCAAGACATGAAATTTTGAGCAAGCTACTCTCTAATATAATCTAACAGTTTGTGAAATTTTGTACCTGTATCTTTTGCAGTTCTTGAGATATTAACCATCTAATACTCAGAAGTGATGTACTCTAGCCCAGGGTGGAGTTTGAAATGACTTCAAGCTTTGAATTGTGCTTTGCACAGGTGCACCAGTCAATATCTCAAGAACAAGAGTGGCTATGGGACTGAAAATTGGCAGACAAGTAGATGACAGGCTCTTGTTAATGGATTCCAAGCTACAGGCAAATAGCATTAATACTAGCCAAGATATGCCAATGCAGGTTTTTGAAAAAGCGCACTTGTAATATCTCAGTCAATTCTCAATGAAAAAATCCCAAATTTTGAGAACAGCTACGCCTTTTTGTATTCTATTGGAATACAAATTTTTGTGGCCTTAGCATAAGCAGTTCTTGAGATATTCAGTTTCTGATGCTGAGAAATTGAACGATGTGCTTTGCATGAGCACAACACTGAATATCTCAGGAACCAGAGTAGCTATTGGTCTGAAATCTGGCAGACAAGTAGACAACATGTTCCTGTTAATGGATATTGGGGTACAGATGACTAGCATTTATATTAGTCAAGATATTTCAATGCGGGTTTTCAGAAATGCACACCTAGCATATCTCAGTCAATACTTGACTTAAAAGTCTGAAATTTTGAGATAGACTATGCTCAGGTATTATTAAGTTGCGTACAAATTTTCATATTTGTAGCATTTGCAGTTCCTGAGATATCAAGTTTCCAATACTGAGAAAAGCAGACAGCTTTGCACCTTTGACATTTCAGTGATCAAGTAAGTAAATGTATTGAACTATCTGGTAATAGAAATATGTTCCTTGACATGTAAAAGCTCTATAGCAATTAGTAGTTCATAAGCTCTGAGATATCTTTTGCAGAAGGGCATCAGACCTCCCCAGGGCAGCCTGAGAGTGCTTAGTGTTGCCGTGGCTTCAGCTCGGAACCGACTTAGAGCTGGAGCCAGCACCAGTTATTAGTCGAGCCGTGTCTCTGTTTGGCTTAGGAAGCTGCGGTTTTCCAATTGCGGTTAAAGTCGCAGCTTCAGTTAGTAGCCGGTGCCAAGTCAGCTAACTAAACACTAGATCACCGGTAGAGCAGTAGTGCCCAAAAAAAGAGTGTCCCGTATATACTACATTATTAATGAAATACAACAAAATACATTATCCACAAGCTAGTTTGTGCATATCATCTCATAGAGAGGTCATTAGAGAACTATTCAGCTTCTTCTCCTCCTTGGATTCTGAGCCTACACAAAGAAAGTCCGTTGTAAGTTCCAGTCATTCGTCCAAAAGTGTATCAGCTGCACCAGGTGCCCTCCTTACAACCGCCAAGTTCATGAGTGCCTGTCCATTGTGGTACCTATGGTGGATTCATCAAATGTATTTGCTGCAGTGTTCACCTTTGATGACAACAAGAAGTCCATTATCACGTGTCGCATTCAGATGTTTCAGGGAGACCCACTCAGGAGGAAGGCCAGTCGATTTGTTATATACAACATGGCAGATGCTGACCCGTCCGTTGACCTCGTCGATGGTGACAGAAAGCTCCTTCTCGCTGTAGCTACCACTGTTTACAATAACCTTTAGAGTTGTGCCAACCAGGTGTGGGTCCAAAAGCAAATGCTGAGGCAATTCTTGTTGCGGCAGGGCGGTACTGCTGGTGGTGGCGATGGGTGACATGGGGGAAGAAATCGGCATTCGCGATGAAGGATCCCAGGCAGGTGTCGATGAAATGGGTTGCGAAGACGGACTCCAAGCAGGTGTTGCAGACACAGGAGTTGGCCTGCCAGAGGTTGTCACCTGCGACAGCGCAGGCCATGGCTTGTAATTATTCGGCTTGAAGAGCATGCTAGTAGGTTTGGTTGAACAGCAGTAGCATGGTGCTGAAAAGGATGATCAGTGAGCGAGGCACCTCTAAATAAATTTTATACTTACGTTGCTTCAATAACATCACCATAGTCAACGATGATGAGTGGGAAAGGCTTGGAGGGATCCAGGCAGGTGAGTTGCATCTCAATTCTCAGCCCGCTATCTGTCGGTTGGCCGCAGAGAACATTCTTGACAACGCCAGAATGTCCCTTGTAAGGATGACCAATTCTGAATATAGTGACAGAGGTACCGATCTGCGGCACTTGGTCTTTGAAAAGTGGGAGGATTTGGCTGGGTGCATGCAATGCAAGGAGGAACGGGGCAGTGGTAACTTTCAGCCAATTCATATGGACTTTGAATTCCTACAGAAGTAGTTAATAAATGAAGGCGAAATCGGACTGTGCTGTCTGCACATACCTTGAGGGAACTGCTGGGATGGTCTCTGTGTCGTGGTCATTAACGCGCTTCTCTATGATGTGGACGACGTCTTCATCAACCTTGTTGACCCACCCTGTTGTGCCATGGAGTCATCCACTTGTAACAGTAATGAAATCCCTGACGCGAACATCCTTCCGGATATCGAGCCAGGGAAAAATTTCTGTACCGTTTTCTGCTCTGAGATCCACTTCCAAGTCCTTGGTTCCAACAACAGCCACTACATCGCTTTTGCCTGAAGAACAGATGATAACACATTCACCTTGTTCAAAGATCCATTCTCGAGGGGGAGGAAATCTGGATGCGTGAAGGCTGGGGTGGTCACTGGCTTGAAACAGAAGGAAGAAGTAGGATGGCATGTTGACAGCAGAGGTGAGCGAGTGAAAGTCGTAACATTTCCACAGGAGTCCGTGTTCGAAATGAAGTCCATGGAAGGTATATGATCCATCAGATTGTTGGATGGGACTAATATTGTAGATGTACTTGATGACATTGGGTTCAAATAAAGCTGGTTTGGGGGGAACAACAGATCGTTTTTGCTTCAATGAAGGCTCCATATTGGGCGCCACCAGATGGGGAACCAGGAGCACTTCTACTCCCCAACTTTCTACTTTAACAACAAGGCCAACGTCACCTCTGTAGGTTCCCTTGAGGACTTGGACCCACTGGTTCACTTCCATGGAAGTGTCAGGGTTTGTCATCGTCAACATTTGCAGCCAATCTGAGGGTTCGATTCTGTGCCGTACAATGCCCTGTTTGGTGCGAATGATTCTGGGTGTCCGCTTGAGGAGGCGGATGAGATCTGGATTCATGAGGGCCTCCAGGTAGACCCAACCTCGTAGTGACCCACATGTGAATGCAGAACAGATTTGGTGCTCTTCCCTTGCTTTCAGCAGGAGCAAAAACATGGCTTCCTCCTCGAGACCCAGCTGCGAAATTTGTAAGAATACTCCCTGAGTTACAAAGGGCAACCTTACCCTGCAGCCAACACGCCAAAGCGGATAGTCTTCAGTGCTCAGTAATCTGCCTGCAATGTAGGTGAGGTCGTTGCTGGATTCGACGTGAGTTGGTGCAGTCGCCACATAGGACCGTGATCGCACCATGATTCCAGCCAGGACATCGTTGATTTCGTCTCCGTTTTGAAGGTCGTTCCATGATGGATATGGAACAGTCAGCTCGCACACAGTCAGCTCCTTGTCATCAATGAAGTCATCTAGTAAGATGCGAATGTAAATTAGATTATACCAACAGGGAAAAGTTAGACACGCACCGTGGAGGCCATCCTCCTCATCGTCGCTGTCGAAGTCCTCCCTGTCCACCTCTGCCTCAATATCAAAGAACTGCCGCAGTTGTTCAGGAACCTGGAATAATGATGGTGAGCCGGAGGCACAACTAAGAAACCCGACACGAACATACATTTTTCATGATATCTGCGTACTGTTCTCTGAAACCTGATATGTGGTTGCAATTAGCACAATATCATTCACTCGTTACACATTCAACGACCCCAAGCATGTTGCCCAGAACCCAAACGATGCCTAGCACACAGGGCAGTGCCCTCATCTTGGCCATTCATCTGTCTTGGCCATTCATTTGTCTGGCACTTGTATTTGAGCCAGTCGCTCATCCGTAATTTATTTGATTTGTAGTAATAAGACTATCTACTGACTAAGGAGGGAGGAAGGGACTTACAAGGTGGGTGGACTGATGAATGGACGCGTCAATGACGACGATGGTGATGGTCTTGTGGAAAGAGTGAAAGCATGTGAAAGCAGCTGGGGGCTCGTTGATGTGGCACAGAATGTTCCAGCGTCGGCTACACCAGCCCACTGGGCTTAGTCAGCGAGGTGGTTCCTGACTAAGCCCAGTGGGCCAGTGTAGCCAACGCTGGAACATTCCGTGCCACATCAACGAGCCCCCAGCTACTTTCACACACTTTCACTCTTGCTCCCGTACCACCACCATCCCCTACATTTGACTGTAATGTAATTATTTATCATTCAGTAGTACTACACCCATTGTAAATAGTAGAAATATGAAAGCCTCACATGGAACGTCATGAACAGACAACAAAATGGCTGCAGAGGTAATGAAAAGGGGGCGAGTGTGTGTAAAGGTCGAGGAATGAGTGTAGGGTTTCAAGGGCAGTCAGGGCAGTCAGCATGCATGTAAGGCTTGAGGGAGGACCACGCAGATGTACATGTTTACTGAGCATGTATTTCATTTCAATAGGACTCCCTGTGGCATGGAAAGTTGGCACAGGGGTTTGGACCGTTTGGTATGTTCCTATTTTGTGTCAATCGATGGTACCGATACATGCTCTCAGTGTCGACTATTCAATGGTAGGAAATGAAAATCGCTAAATTATGACAGATGTCTAAACAAATTGTAGGTGTACAAGATGAATCGTCGCAGAAGACGTGACTCAACCGCTATGGGAGACATGACTCGTGCATGTCACAAGTAGATGAAACCATAATGAAGTCGTTCTTGCAGAGACAATGAAGACCAAGCATCTGGAGCAGTCGTTCAAGTTAGGTGGTGGGTCATATGGAAACAACATTGGAAGATCGACACATTTGAGCCCCTTGGTGCAGCGTGAATGGGATGTCATTTGGTGTGTTCTTGTTGTTCTATTATGATTGATAGCTAAACAATTATATGCTGCAATCCAGGTGCTAAACCGTCATACGATTCCCCCAACTCGGAATGGCACGAAGACAGTGACCAATTCCTACACCTCCAGTTCAACCACCAACCCCACCAATCTAACTGCCACCCCCACCAATCCAACTGCTGCCCCCACCAATCCAACCACTGCCCCCTGCAACCCAACCTGCCCGAGCAGCTCCTCAGGCCAATAATTCTGGTGAAGAGTTCAACTTCAGTGGTGTTCCCAGCACCTCAACAAACGATGAAGGGCAGACCAGCAGACTCTCTCAAGCTTGGGCTCACCCTTGCACAAGTAGCAATGCTTTCACTGGATCATCAACTCTTGCGATGCACCCAGCCAGTCCTGCTGCAGCAATGACAGTGACATCAGATATGAGGGCACCATCGGTGTCAAGCAGTCGCTCTAGAAATGCGGCCTTGGATATTGCATACTATTTCGTCAAGGCGAGCAAAGCCTCTGGTAAGCAAACTTACTGTCCCTTTCTGTATGGAAGCAACAGCCAGTAGGTCCATTACACCAAGATTTTGCAGAATGATAGCAACAGTCCAGCTGTTAGGCATTACCGTTGCTAAATTTAGCAACGGATGGTGGTGAACAATGGGCAGATAGGTGGCCACTCCACACGCACCACTCTGCATGCTGACTTAAGTTCAAAGCGCACGGTGAATTTATTGGGTACGATGAGCCACATTTTCTAGTTACAAATTATCAACGTTCATTGAGCTTGAACACTGAATTATCCCCTGCTTTTACGATGACTGAGAAGAAGACCACAGTCACTCCCATCGGACCATCGCAAGTTCTGGTGTCTTGCATTGCCCATCTCCAGAATCTGCTCCAGAATCTTCTGGAACAACTTCCGCTCAATCCACCTAACTCAACATATGACTTCTTTCTCGACGAAGAGAGTCTTGCTGAGCATGGACCCTTTGGTGCTCTCTCACACATCCTTGAAGTCTGCTTTAGAACATACCAAAACCCCCAAATACACTTCTCTGAGCGTGGCCGTCGTCTCGATGACCTTATCTCAACTATCAAAGCTGCAGTGAAGACCATGTCTGACTCTGACCAGGAAGCATTCTGTCATGCATGGCTTGAAGGACTGATTGACACGGCATTGCTCAACAGAGCAAAAATATCCAAGAAGCGCAAGGAGTCAGATACAACAACACTGACAGCTCCAGCCCCATCCACTTCCAGTCCATGTGTGACCTCCATCGAGAAACAACAGGGCAAGGTCATCGAAATTGATTCCGACTCAGAGTCTCCACCAGCACCAAAATGTCTTTGGCAATCAACCAAGAATGACAACATATCATTGCCAGTTGTTATCATCAATGAGACCTCCGACTTGGCTTCGAAAACTAAGCCTCCATTGAAGCAGACCTCATTGAATGGGGTATGGAAGAAGAGGAGCAAATATACAGAGGAGGCACTGGCTCAGGCTCAAGAGGTTTCACAGGTGAAAGAAGAAGAGCAAATGCATAAAGCAGTCGAGAGCGAGCAACGGCGGAAGCAGAAGAAGGAGGAGAAGGGGTGAGAGCTGAACCAGGACTGTCAACAGAGGTTCCAGGACTGAAAGCGAGAAGAAAAGACAGCCGCTGGTGGCAGCCATCCTCCTGGTAAAGCTGTTGTGCCTGTTTTCATCCCAGAGGCATCATCAGAGGTCTTGTTGCACAGAGTGATCCCAGAGATCTCAAGGCCTGGGTTTGAGGACTGGAGAAAGGAGCAGGATGGTACCCGTGGGGGTGCTCGGCAAGAACGGGCTACTAGGACGAACTGGTTTCACCCTTTTCTTTGGGTCCATATTGACACATCCATCCGCAAGGCTGATTGGAGTGTGTCATATACAGAGACAATCCTCCGATGTGATTATCCAGCCCTTTTCAAAACACTCACAAAATCAACCATCTGGAGATGGGTTTCATGGGAGATTCCTAAGGCTTGGTCACCACAGACTCTTGCAAACGTTGCTAATTGCCATTCTCTTGTGGGTTCTGGGCGAACAGGCATTCTTGCAAAATATCCAGCCACTGTCAATGCCATCAAGACCATGTTGAAAGACCTATGGAAGTCAGGGATTCCTGTCAATGTTCCTATTGCTCGGTCACTTATGCTGCCATAATTGAGGAGCGGTGTCCTGAGGTCCTCACAGGCACCAAGTTTATTTGCTCTGAGGCTTTTGTCCATGCTTTCTTTCAGAGCGTCCTGAATTGGACACCTCAGATGGTGACTCGTGCGGCTGCACACATTCCCACAGATGCAGATGATGTCTGTGAGCGCACCTTCTTCCGTCTTGTCTATGCCATGAAATGGGAGAATATTCCACCACGTCTGGTCATCAATGTCGATCAGATGGGCATGTACGTTCTTCCTAGCAACTCCTGCACTTTTCACGATAAGGGGGAAAACAAGTCGATGCTATTGCAAAGGATGAGAAGCGTGCCTACACTTTGCTTGTTGCGAGCACGCCCACTGGGGAGATCCTTCCATTCCAACAGGTTTGGGGTGGCAAGACTTCTGCATTGTTGCCCAAGAGAACTGCACCTGGTATGGATAAAGCACGAGAATATGGGTTTCACTTCACATTTGCTGCAAGTGAATCCAGTCCGCGTAGCCATTTCAGCACACTCAAGACAATGATCAAGTGGATTGAGGAGATTCTTGTTCCTTGGATTAAGCGTGTCGTTGAGGAGGATGGACTAGACAAAGACCAAAAGTCAATTCTTTATATTGACTGCTACCCAGTTCATGCCAGAGAACCATTCAAGTGCTACGTTCTGGATTCCCATCCAAACATCATTTTGTGTTTTGTTCCTCGGAACTGTACTCCAGTGTTCCAGCCTGCTGACGTTGGCCTTCAGTGGCCAATAAAGCACAGCCTCAAGCAGTCCCTTTTCGAATATCTTGCGGCTACATATAGAAAGCAGATGGCATCTGGATTGTGAGCTGAGGATGTGCGCATCACCATGTCACTGCCTCAACTCCAGGACGCATCAGTCGGGGGGCTTGTTAAGGTCTATGAATATCTACAGACTCTTGATGGACGTGATCTCATAAAAAAGGTGCACTTCTCTTTCCATCTGTTCCAAATCTGAAATTTGAATACTAAATCCTTTTATCTCTAGGCTTGGGCAAAGAGTCAGGCAAAAAACTGGTGCCTTTCTGAGCAATGTCTGATCAGCAAGGAAGCACATACAGCTTTAAAGGATTATCTACAACAGGATCCAGCCCTACATGATGAGATTCATGCATGTATGGGAGCAGTTCTGGGGATTGAGATCAAGGGCACAGCTCCTGAAGATGTCATGACCTGTCCCCGGCTCCTGGCACAATTATCCAGCTCCCAAGGCTGTATCCAGCTTCCGAGGCTTGTGGTAATGAGCCATGGTCTTCCAGGACACTTCCGAGACATCTGGGAACGAGCCATGCACTTCCGAGGCACTTCCGAGGCAAGCCATGTTCCGGCTCACTCCATTGTGTCTCCCAGCCATTGTCCCATTGTCCTTCATTGTTCTCCTTGTCCCGGCTAAGTTATCTATTACATAATCATGGTCCATTATCCTACATAGCATAAATACCCATGTACAGTAGTAGATTCCTCAGTCGGAATATCAAACTCGACATACCCCCTTTGCTCTAGTTCACTGCCGGAATCCGGCTCCTCCCTGTTCATCCAAAATTGGGGACACCCAGACGTTGCGTGGTGGCACAGCTGCCCCTTTTCTGTCAAGCTGAAGCCAAGTCCCCACTTCATCCGGCATGGTCGTTACAGAAGAGGAGATTGACCATGATGTTATTGATGATTGCAACATCCTGATCGAAGCTGTGGTTCAGGAAACTCTTCGCGAGAGTGCCGTACCACTCTCGATATCCACAGCATCAAGCCATTACCTTGTTCAGACTGTGGTACGGACTGAGGATGGGCTGGTGGCAGGTGGCGATGAGGAGGACATATGGGCATACAACGACAAAGGGGAGAAGTGGGGCGTAAACAATGAATTGCCATCAGAGTAGATACAGGAAGAAAAATATTATATTTTTGTTGGAATTTACCCATTTTTTTACCCGTTCTACAAGCTGTATCCCAAGTAGCAATGACACAGCCGTTATGCATTACGTAACAGCAAATTAGCAACGAAACAGGCCCCCTGTTATGCGTTACCGTTGCTTCATTACAGAAAGGGACAGTATTGCAGGTTTTGCAAGTATGTCACTGGGTACGTTTATCTGTGCTATGGATGTACTAACAGTACCTGATTTCAGAGAGAAATCTGCCTCGAACCCGAAGCTTAAATTCGAGTTTTCCATCAATACCTCCAACACCACGCTCAGGAACCACTTGGAGAACGTGCACAAAGAGGAGTACCTTTGCCTTTGCACCGAGAAGGGGTGGAACAATCTGCTTTCAAAGTCACGAGTTCAGATGGTAGCAGCCCCGGAAGCAGCTCATGGCACTCAAGGTGCTTTCCGTACCCCCTTTACCCAAAAGGCTTTCATCCAGCACCTAATCAATTTCGTTGTTGCGGATGACCAGGTATGTTTAACGTTTCTATCTATTCATCAAACTAATGCCATGTAGTCATTGAACGTCGTCAAATGTCCCGAATTTCATGCTCTGTTACTTCTCTTGCGGCAGGACCTCCAAGACAATGATATCCCCTGCTGAACTAAATTTTGAGAAGAAGTTATCAAAGCATGGGAGGTTTACTTCAGGGTTCTCAAACAAGATCTCGCAGTGCGCTTTCTGGGCTCTCTGAAATACCGTTTAGCTTACAACTGTTATCAGATTGCACTCAGAAAGGTGTCGTTCACAGTGGACATTTGGTCAAATCAGTCTTGTTATCCACACCTTGCCATGACTGCCCATTGGATCTCACACACTCCAATGGGTGGCCTGCAGTTCAATTGCATGCTTGTGGCTTTTCACTGTATTTGAGGTAGTCACCATGCAGAATGGCTTGCAAGAATTGTCCTTCACCTTCTTGATCGAACGGGCGTTACTGTCAAGGTATTTCTTGATACCTTCTGAGGCAATTCTTCATTTTAATCAAACTGTTAGGTTGGCCACTGGACACTCGACAATGCCTCTGTGAATGCAAAGTTCTTGGAAGAACTCCAAGTCCTTCTTGAAGTGAGGGATATTCCCTTCAATGCAAAGGATAGACACATCATGTGTTTCCCCCACGTTATCAATATATGTGTAACACACATAACTGAGAGCTTTACTGATCTAGCTCTTGCTAGTGATGAAGCCAAATTTGCAGCGTCCCTCCCTCCTGCGGATCCATGTCAACAAACCTTCGACAAGGCTTGTGCTCAGGATCCTATTGCACTATGCCGTGGCACTGTTTGTGCGATCCATGCCTCTGGTAAACGGCGTGAACTGTTCCAGGATATCATTCGCAACAGTAATGAGAAGGAGTGGTTCAAGGCAGCCAATGACCCCAACAAGATCATCAAGCTTGAGAATCTCGAACTTCTTCGTGATGTTTGACACCAATGGGACTCTCTCTACAAGATGATTCGCTGATTCCGGGAGATGCGACAAGTAAGTTTCAATTCCCTTTGTTGTAGTATTTTACTGACGCTATGACAGGCTTGCTGTAACGACCATGCCAGATGGGGTGGGGACTTGGCTTCAGCTTGACGGAAAGGGCAGCTGAGCCACCACGCAACGTCTGGGTGTCCCCAATTTTGGATGAACAGGGAGGAGCCGGATTCCGGCAGTGAACTAGAGCAAAGGGGGTATGTCGAGTTTGATATTCCGACTGAGGAATCTACTACTGTACATGGGTATTTATGCTATGTAGGATAATGGACCATGATTATGTAATAGATAACTTAGCCGGGACAAGGAGAACAATGAAGGACAATGGGACAATGGCTGGGAGACACAATGGAGTGAGCCGGAACATGGCTTGCCTCGGAAGTGCCTCGGAAGTGCATGGCTCGTTCCCAGATGTCTCGGAAGTGTCCTGGAAGACCATGGCTCATTACCACAAGCCTCGGAAGCTGGATACAGCCTTGGGAGCCGGATAATTGTGCCGGGAGCCAGGGACGGGTCGTGACACTTGCAATTATTTCCTGTCATTGCCCCCAAACAGGGATCTAACAAAGTTCTGCATGACTGACTGCGAGTGGAAAGTCCTTGAAAATTTCAAGATGATCTTGAGCGTCAGTCTTATTTTCAGGCTCTAACAAAATACTAAATCTATGACCAGATTCCTCATTGAGTTCAGACCCTTATGTGCAGCGAGCGAACACCCATTCTCGCAAATGCAATTCCTGCATTTGAGATGTTCATGACTGCATGGGAGAGGCTCGGCGAGAAGTTTCTGCACTTGGAACCATATACAAAGGTTGGCATTGAATGGGCGGTCAAGTATTACAACAAGATGGACTTGACAAAGGCATATGTGATTGCAATGGGTACATAGAATGTCTCATTATTGTTACCTGAATTAACTTCATCCCATTAATTAGTCCTCAATCCCTCCATCCATCTATCATGGATTCAAAAAAATTGGGATGAAGAATTCATTGATGAGGCCACCCAAACCATCAAGGATTTGGTGAGCTGCGTGGACCCTTGTAAATAGCTTTCTTATTTTCACCCGCAATTTGCAGATGGTGGAATATTGTGCTCATGCCAATCCCGAAATGCCAGCTCGTTGAAGTCCTGCGACGACACAGCAGGGATTTGGTCTTGACGAGCTGGCTGAACACTACGGGCTTGATGACCTGATGGATTTCACAGACAACAATGCATGCCGCAACCAGAGTATCGACGAGGAGTTCGTGGCCTACTTTACGGCACCGCTTTCTGAGAAAGGGATGGACATTCTGAAGTTCTGGGAAGTAAGTATTCTAAATGTATTGATCTAGACTTTCTGCTGATATCATCTTTTCAGATCCATGAATCAAGTTTTCTGACTCTTTTTGCAATAGCGCTCGACTACCTTCCCATCCAAGCCTCAGCAGTACCTTGCGAGCACGTTTTTTCATCAAGCGTGGAGACAGATACAAAGCGATGAAATTGAATGCATGCAACCTTAATGGAAGCACTGCAAATGCTCAAGTTCTCGCTGAAGATGAAACGGCTCAACTTCATGGAAGGCTTGGAAACTCCAGAAATAGATATGCTGGTGCCTGCTGATGATGAAACAGACTTATTAGCACAGGTGGCCTCTGAGTGGAACAGTAATATAGACACCCTACTCACAGCTCTTGGTCAATACAATGATGATGATGTATAGTTGGCATTTGTACAGACAGACTATAATATTCTATTTTAATTTCTGTATTAATTTTGGTTTTTGAGCTTATATGTCTTGGAATGACCAGCGGTTAGGCGAGGTAAGACAGTCTTTACATAATGTAATATATTGTTTTTTAAATCCTATAGAAGTGCTAATCAAAAGAATAATGAGGCCTTCCCCTGCTCATTTACCTATAAAAATTGTGCCATTTTATTCAGAATTTATTATAGAATACAGCTGTGTAGGTAGAAATGGGAGGACAGGTACAATGAGCCCAACGTAGGACAAAAACAGCAGGTATTGGCGTTTTACACACTAATAATAACATGATTGCTACCAGTTAAGAATCCCAGATATGATCCAACATTTCCAGGTCATGCTCCGCCTCGACAACCGCCCCACCAGTTGCTCCCTCCGGCCGTTGGACGGACGTGGTATTTAAATTGAGGGGATATCGCGCCTGTTTTATTCTACCGGATGAATCATAATCTACCACCAGAAAGGATCCATCATTACCACCCCACTTCAGAGTCTTCACCATGATGTTTGTATCGCGAATATCCCCGTGTACAAAGCCAGCCTGATGGAATTGCCGCAAGCATTGTCCGACTTTCTCCGAAAGACAGTTGCGAGCACCCAGATGCTCCTCCGATAAGAAATCCGGATTGTCTCGAATCAAGTTGAACAAGCTGATGTACTCCTCACTGACATCATCCATCACAACCATGTACAATCCTCCAGGGAGGCGCTCGACAGCATGAAGTTTCGGCGCAAAGCCTTTCGCAGCAAGAAACTCGTGACCTTCTTTGCAATAACGAGCAACAAATTTAATGCAGATTGCAGTGCCATCGATGTCGTCCATACGGCCAAAGAACAGGTTGCGACCCTTCATGTGGAAAAGGTATATGAAGCGTTTTGCCGAACCATCCCAAGATGTAAAAGAGGTTGGATATGGATGTGTGGGATTACGCAGGGGAAAAGATGGATTGGCGCTATATTCCTGATAATAGGTGTCTAGAGCATGAATTGCGCGTCGGAGAGCTCCAAGGTGGCGCACTAGCATGCCCTCCATCTTGATATCGGTATCCTGATAATGGCAGGGGATGGCAGGGGATAGCATCTGTACGGTCGGACGATCGGTCCATGCAGCACCGGCAAATGCGACATAAGGGCCTGAATGGTATAAGACAGAATGAAGCTAGTATTAGGAACGGACAACGAACCAAAAATGAGTACAATCATGCATGGTAGAACGGAATTAAGATGTTGAGTGGCAAGGTTCCGCGTTGCCTCGAGGAAGTAGAGGATGGCTTGAAAAAACGGCTCAGCGGCCGTGGACCCGATTTCATTCTTGAATTCTGCGATCAAAAATCTGAATTTACCAATTGACAGATCGCCATCCGTGGTGAATCTACCAATCATCGTTGGCTTTATGGGTATCTTATGGTCGTCGAATATGGTCAGGAGAGTTTCCCGTCGACCGTCCTCCGCTTTGTAGATATTCGCCATGGCCTGCACGAATGCAAGAAAGAATTGGACATCGTCAGTCGTCGGCACGTAGTTCTCGGCGTCATCGACGTATTCCCCAAATATGGGATGGAGCAGACTCAGCGGCAATGCCGTGGGGCGACCGTAGGGCCGATTACATGGAATGTACCCATCGGCCTTGTCTTGTCTGTTGAGGAATGTTTGAGGATTCCCACCGTTCGAAGGAGCTTCAGACTTTCGTTGGCTACAGAATTTCTCCCGGTCCCGACCGACCTGGTCGGCAGATAGGACTGGGAATTTATATGCAGATGGCGGTGGCCCTGAGCTGGGAGAGGGTGCACCTTAACGAAATAATGAGCAAAATCAAACCAGAGCCGATATGATACTCACCTTGGCCCGGAACACGTGCAACGACATGGATACGATTGGCATCAAGCTCCGAGGAGAACGCATCCAACAAAAACTTTTCCGCTCTCAACTTTGGTCCAACAGTCGGGGGATTCTTGGAGGAAAGATCGTCGATAGGAAAGGAGACCTGCCATAGGTCGAGATCTGATGCGGCGACATGGTCGAGGTGAGGGGCCTTCTCCTCTTTGATTAGTTTTTTGAGGATGCTGACATTTTTGTTCTTCGGAATTTCGACAGTGAATACCCGATCGGGGTCGTCACCGAGAATAAAGCAGTTGAGCGAAAGGAGTTGTGTGGGATCAAGAGCTACGACCGTTTGGACCTCTTTTAGAGGGATTAAGTATGGTTCCAAAGAGAAGATTGTCGTGACGTACCTGGCACCTTTGCTATAACATGGAGACAATCATCCGCGACATCCGTGAAAAATGTGCTTAATTTCTTGCTAGGTGGCGACAACTTCGGATAGCCAGCAAGATCAATATTTCCCAGTTCCGTCTCAAGATCGTCGATGGGAAAGGAGACCCGCCATAGGTCGAGATCTGATGCGGCGACATGGTCGAGGTGAGGGGCCTTCTCCTCTTTGATTAGTTTTTTGAGGATGCTGACATTTTTGTTCTTCGGAATTTCGACAGTGAATACCCGATCGGGGTCATCACCGACAACCAAGCAGTTGAGTGAGAGTGACATAGCTAAGGACCGAACATAGGGAGAGACAATGCCACAAAAGAATGTTTGTTGGCAATGACTTTATTCACAGGCGTGACTCAACAATTGATCACGTGAACGACGGAACTATTGTCCCGTCGGCTAGGGTTGCGTATCTGATGGGCGATAAATTAACAAACATGTCTGGCGTCTGGCCTCTCTTTGCCGTGTCAACTCGTCTCGGAGGTGCTTAGGCTTTTGTCAACACTGCGCACCCCTCTCAGTCAGCTCTTCGGTCCAAATGCACTTGTCATGCGTCCTCGAATCGATGTCTCTTCCTTTTACTTAGCTTCTGAGAAGTTAGCGGGGAACCCGGGTTACTCCTCTCGAGAAACACAAGTTTTCAGGAGATATATGGAAGACTGAGTGACTGAAGGAAAGAGGCAGTCAATATCGTGGTTATATTCTCTCTCCGTATCCAAACCCATACGCATTAAATGTCGGCCCGACATGAAGGGCCGATGTGCGCACAAATTTCTGTTAGTTTTGTTCCACTACATACATAAAGCGTCTACGCCGGCAATCCAATCCTTGTAAATTTTCATTTCCGTATCAGCTACTGTACAACTCTGTAGATACAGGATCGATGGTGGGGTCATACGGCATTCTGTCATCGCGATAAAACGTCACCCCAACTTGTTCATCCACCAACCGGCTAATAGCTCCTGGGCAGACCCAACACCTTCTCGCTCACATAGTTCAGGATCATCTCACGACTGACCGGAGCGATGCGGGGCACCAGACACTCGCGGAAGTACCTCTCCACATCGTACTCGACCGCATACCCCATTCCGCCGTGCGCCAACACCGCCCTCTCACAAGCCGTGAACGCTGCCTCCGCAGCGAGGTACTTGGCGCTGTTGCACGCTACACCAACAGCATGGGAAGTGATGCTCGCATCCGTGCCAGCAGCGTAGGCGTCATACAGCCTCGCAGCATGGTACGTTGCAAGCTTCGCCGCCTCGAGGCGCATGAATGCGTCTGCGAGCGGGTGCGCCACGCCTTGGTTCATCCCGATCGGTCGCCCAAACACGACGCGTTCCTGCGCGTACTTTGCCGCCCGCTCGAGCGCCGCGTACCCCAGCCCAAGCGCCTCCCCCGCGAGGAGGCACCTCTCGGCGTTCATCCCGTGCAGGATGATGCGGAAACCCTCCCCTTCATCACCGATGAGCGACGAGGCGGGAATGGGGTAGGCGTCGAAGAAGACCTCATTGGCATCTACGGCCCGTCCGCCCATCTTCTTGATCCGCCCCAGGGAGAGGCCCGGGTGTGTGCGGTCGAGGTCGATGCAGAAGAGAGAGAGCCCGTCGGTGGACTTCTGGACGTCGGAGAGCGGGGTTGTGCGCGCGAGGAGCATCATCTTCTGGGCGACCTGTGCGCAGGTGATCCATATTTTCTGCCCCGAGACGACATAGGTGTTGTCAGATGTGCGGGTGGCAGTGGTCTTGAGGCGCAGCGTGTCGAGCCCGACGTTGGGTTCGGTAACACCAAAGCACGTCCGCCATTTTCCCGAAATTATGTTGGGAATGGTCTCCTCGAGCTGCTGCTGTGTGCAGAAGCGAGCGAGCGGCTGGGTGGCATAGATGTTGGCGTGGATGGCTTGGGCACCAGCCATACCTGCGCCGGACTGGGCGATCGTCTGCATCATCATCGTCGCCTCGGAGATGCCTGCGAAAGTCTACACGCATCAGGCGCAGGTATGCATGCATGAGGACCTACCCAGCCCGCTACCTCCCAATCCTTCTGGCAATGCTATGCCCAGCCAGCCATCCTTCGCCAGCGCAGCATGGAACTCCTTAGGATCCTTTTCCTGCTGGCCACACTCCTGCCAGTATGTATTGGGGAACAACGAGCAGACTTGGCTGATCGCGTCGCGTACGGTGAGTTGAGTATCGGTGAAGCCAGTGGTTTCCATGATGCGGTTGTGTGCACTGGCGGCGAAGGTCCGTGAAGGTAGTGAGAGGCATGGTGTACGAAGAGATCGGAGGAGAACAGGGCGGGCGGAGAGCAGAGTGTGAGCCAGCCTACGCACAGAGAGGGGCATGTTGAGGGGGTGCTGAGAGAGTGTGCGACTGGAGAAGAAGAGGGGCTGGTATTAGTAATGCGTGACGTAAAGCCCCATCTTGAGTACCGCCACGGTCAGTTGAACTGACTCACCGTTGACTCCTCCACTTCCACACCTAGTCTCCCTACTATTCCACACCCAAGTCAAACGACAGAATCACTGACTTCTCCTCCAACAACCCATAGCTGACCCTTTCTGTCCCTCAGAGTCGTAGCTCCTATCTCCTCGTGCATAAATCCCCTTTCCCCCAAGGAATAGCAAGGAATATGATTGCAGCGGAAACGGAGATACCTAAGAATATTTATTTCTCGGTCATTCAGAACTGACTTAATTAGTATATGAAACTCAACTGGCATTACACCAGAGCATCGTCATGGGTCTCGCGTACCAGTTTTAACCAGTCTGACGGTGAGTTTCTGCCCGAAACATAGTAAGCAAACATCAGATTTGAATGTGGATTCTGAAACAGGGAAGTGGAGAATAAAAAATGCAGCAATAAAAGCCGCATTGTGTAGGCGAGTAGCATGATCAACACTCAGGACAACAGGCAGACAGGGAAAGAAAGGATGTACGCACCTTCTTAGGCATTGAGCCAGAGAATCTTCCCGCCGAAGGAGCTGGTGCCTCCTTCCGCCATAGAAGATCAACGATATTTCTGGGGCAAGCGTGCACATATATGCGCGTGTGTGGTACGTATGGGCAATCGGGATTCGGGAGAAACTGGAGGGATAGCACGGAGAGGATCACGGAGGGGGGGGGAAGCACAGAGACGCGGATGAGAAGGCTGAGATGATGGGCGTCGGGAAGAAAGCGTGAAGGAGTGCAAACAAATGCGGTGGGGGCTTATATACCCTCTCTAGGCTGATTTTTTGGGGAGGACTTTTTGGGACGCGGTCTATTTTTAGGCCAAGCGCCCAAACGAACGCGTTATCTGTGTCACGTTCGCGAGAGAAAGCAGTGACGCGCATCAGTGGCCACTCGTCCCATCCAACTATTCTGAGACGGAGACGTCTCCTTCCTCTAAAATCAATATCTCGTTTGTTGGCCCAAGACTCGCTTGCAATGCTGGTATTGTACGCTCTTTTTTCGTTTTCTCACACATCTTCACAAATGGAGAGGTTTGCAGCCACTGCAGCATTCTCAACGTCCAGATCGGCGTCATACACCGCATATGGCCAGTTCCCTACTACCTGTGGGGCTCTAGTTCATCCTTGTTGAGATGGATCTGAAAGTGACGCAACTGGATGCGGTGCAATTCATGTTCCTGCCTGCCTGGGTTAGCAGCCCAATGGTGCACGATCTGAACCGAGTCGACGCCTCGATTAGAACGCAAGTTCACCTTTATCTATGCATTGTAGCAGGCGATTGAGAGAATTGTAGCAGTGCCAGCACACTGATTAGTGTCTAGTCGCGAGTCGCAGCAAGAACATTAATTTTTAATCGTCCATACGATTAATCGGACCTTTCGTTAACTGTTCTACCTGCTATGCAGCCCGATGAGAATCCTGTGCTACATATCTTGTTTCGAAGTCCAATCCTCGCCAGGCCTGAATGGTCATAGACGAATGTCTCTAGCTTTCTGCTCCGTCGGGAACCAAGAGATTGACAGCTCCTACAACAGCCCCTCCGTCGAGAAAATCGGTACGAAACCACGGCAGGCGGATCATTTTTTCTACTGTCTGCTCAAAGTGGTGCAACCCACCCGACTTCCGAAGTGAAGGGATTGCACCATGGCCGGCGTCTACCACAAACAGAACCAACAGGGGCGTATGACGTAATGTTGCGTCCTATCCCCGCCCGTCACCTCGTCCGCACAAACTCGCCTTTCCACCAGACCATCCGTTTGCTATCTACTCCCCCACCTCCGCCCCAGAGCCGACCGCTCGACGGCATCACCGTCGTCTCCCTTGAGCAAGCCATCGCTGCCCCCTTCTGCACCAGGCAGCTCGCCGACCTCGGTGCACGCGTTATCAAAGTCGAGCGGCCTCCTACAGGCGACTTCGCTCGCGCCTACGACACGCGAGTGAAAGGCCTGTCGTCGCACTTCGTCTGGACAAACCGTGGCAAGGAGTCGCTTGCCCTTGACCTCAAGAACACGCACGATCTCACGGTCCTGAAGAAGCTCGTAGGGAAGGCGGACGTGCTCGTGCAGAACCTTGCTCCGGGGGCGGCGGATTGACATCTCGATGCTCGAGAGCATGGTCGAGTGGATGGGCTTCCCCTTGTACTACACGTACGCTGGTGCCCCGGGCCCACAGCTGAGCGGTGCAGCGCACGCTGCGATCTATCCGTACGGCCCATTCAAGACACGCGACGGAGAGGTGATGCTGGGGTTGCAGAACGAGCGTGAGTGGACGCGTTCCTGTGGCGGCGTCCTTGGCTGCCCAGAGCTTGCGTCTGACGCGCGGTTCGCGAGCAACGCGCTTCGAGTAAAAAATCGGGATGCGCTCAAGGTAATCATCGAGGAAGTGTTTGGCTCCTACTCGGCGCAAGAGGTCCTGGCGAGGCTGGACGAGGCAGAGATCTCAAATGCACGAGTGAATGACATGCAGGGCGTTTGGCGACACCCGCAGTTGGAGGCGCGTAAAAGGTGGACGCAGGTCCGGACAGAGAAAGGTATGGTGCCTGCTTTGCTACCCCCGGGATTTGTGCCAGAAGGAGAGGAGGGGCTAAGCGCGAGGATGGATGGGGTCCCGGCGCTGGGAGAGCACAATGAGAAGATATTGAAGGAGCTAGGTGAGGTGTAGATATATATACTGTACAAGTGGACTATAAAATTACGGAATATTCACCAGAGGACAAAGACAACTGCAGGCCCGTGGCCCGACAAGTCGGATGACAAGACCCAAATTCCAAGGTATCCTTCAATGAGGCGCTACATCGACCTTCAGCGCCGGCACACTTCCAGCCTTTCCAGAGAAAAAAGGCAGTGCCATCCTAATGAGCTCTTCTGCGCGTCTGATGAATTGCAGGTTCACCACGGGCGTCTGCGACGTGTCCTGATGGAAACCGAGGCTGATATCAACTTGTGCGACTTTGGAAAACCTCGTCCAGAAGATGTCGTTAAGAGGCCTCCACACATTGCTTTCGGGGGGCTCGGACAAGGTTTCGAGAAAGGATGCCAATGTACCGGCTTGGTCTCCAACCCACTCGTCCAATGTTATATCGACAAGAAAACCTAGGTTCAAGGACTCCAAGGTATCTGGCACCATGACGATCCCTAGAAGGAGCTCGAAGTAGAGAAGTGCTTGTCTGAGATCCAGACCGATGTCGACCGGGCCAACGTGGACGACATTAAGTCGTTTCATCCGACGGAGGTCAATGACAGAGTGGAACGAGACTGGAGAAAACGAATCTGAAGGTCCAGCTCTGTTAGACTGCGTGAACACGCATGATAAAGAATAGAGTCGAAACATACCAAAGCCCATTAGAATTCTAAGGTCCCCGAGAGTTTCCTCCGTGTGCATCAATAATTGAGCCAAAGCGTCGCAGTCTGCCTGGTTGAACACGGTAATAGAAAGCTCGTGGAGTGCGGTAAGTGCCGAGTGGTTTGTTCCACGAGCCATGGAATCAGAGTTGCCCAAAAGTCCTGTGGCGCGTTGATTGACTTGATCTAGTCTAAGTCTAGCAAGCCGAGGATAGCTCTGATTTCCCTGAAGTGGATCGTCCGAGATAGAATTGATGGCCTCTGGTGTCTCAGAGCATGTTATTTGCTCCAGAATTAGAGATTCGATTCCAGTTCCCAGAAGCAGTGTTTTAGGAACACCTTCGAGCCCGCGCAGGTGTAGATATCTCATACCCGGAGAGCGTATGAGCCTGCATAACTCGCTCTTGAGCTCCGCTCCTAGATCAGACCAATTACCGTCGTGCGCGATCGTAAAATCAGTAATCCCTTGTCCCGAATCGTTCAGAAGTTGAAGTATCGAGGCTACGACTGCCTCCAAACGCGGGGACTTGGGTGCGTCCTCATAGTCGAAGAATAAATCCTTGACCAGGGGTGTAATATTTCCAATGGCCCCAGGAGTGCTTGAAGTCCACCCCAGGAGATGGTAGAGGCCGAATGCTCGATCAATGGAGTTGTCCGCGTAGCCACCCAATTCGACGACACGGAAGAGGTGTGTTCGGGCCCGGTGAGCAAATGAACGGGAGACGAGACTGCAGTTCCTGAGTGCTGCGATGGCGGTGTCTAAATCCGTTCTGTCGTACGCGGCTAGTACGTCGATAAAGAGGTCGAATATCTCGACCGGAAAACGAGGACGGGGATCAGAGTCGCGCAGCATGACCAAGGGATGAATTTTCGCTGCCGGGTTATGCTGATGGCATTTATATCGAATTTCGTCGGAGTGCCACTGCGGAGTGCCCAAGCGTCTGTAGATAGTGCGTTGACTGTAGTTCCCCACGGTTCCGATGTCTTTGCCCATAAATAGAAATAGTCTAGAGAGGCATGTGGCGCATGACCTTAGGTTGAAGAAATCTTGGCATGCATTGACGGCCGTAACACGTCATTGAACGATTACCATTGAGTTCCTCGGGGGGTTATCGGCCATGCCCGCAGGAGGCGTATGGCTGCGCCTCTTAAAGTGTGGGACCGTCTTGGACTTTCCTCCGCACTAGCTGATCACGACTAGGATCAGACGAGGTAATCTGCCTGTTTAAATGGAAGTCCATCTTATTAGACGATGATAGCATCGACACGTCCACAACAAGAAGGCGACCAATCGCATTCCCGCCAGCCCAACCTATGCCCCAGCAGTGTCCTTCCGACGCCCAAAACTGACAAACCGCCTGAAGTCCGAAAACACTTCGCGCTTGTGGCTATCCGCCTTGCCTGCTGCATCGCCTACACTCGACCCTGTCGATGGCCCGCTGGGTCCAGGGCCGGCCATGGTCGCAAAGATTTTGTCACCTCCAAGCGGAAGGGAAACGCGACTTGCGCCAGGGCTGATCAGGCTCCCACCAGCGTGGCCCGTCGCGGCCGGATCCATGTCTAAGGAAGAAAGGAAGGAAGTACTTTCGAGATCGGTTTTGGTGCTTGTTATCGTGAGGAAGGAGTCCAGGAGGTCGTTCTGCGTCGTCTTAGGAGTGCCCTTGAGGTCGAGGATCTAGAAAAGAGCAGCATTGAACCCCCTTTCCTTGCCATGTGTCGACACAAAGCCCACCTTTTGGAAATTCGAGAAAGAGGCATCGCCAATAAGCAAGGTGTAGTTCAAGATGAAGCCTTCGGGCGGATCCTACAGAGAAAACATTGAGATAGAAAAAATATCTAGTTCAGAAAGAGTACGTACCACCGGCGTCACGATCACCTTCAACAACGCTTCCAGGCGCGTAGTTGTCTTGTTCAACGAGCGGGTGTATCTGGGAAGAACACTGAGCATTTAATCCAGGAGGAAATAGGAGTGATCAGACTTACGAAGCGGTGGTCAATGTTTCTCCAGGCATCTTGACCAGATACGCCTTGATAGTTTGGAGATCGATCAACAACTGCGAATACGGTCGTCAGTGGGCGTTATGACCGGGCAAAGAAGGCACCGTCACCTGCTCGGCTCCAATCTCTTTCAGTGGCCGACTTCTAACCAACGAATTTGTGAATTTGACAAGGATGACACTGATGAGACCAAATTTAGTTGATGTAGAAGACATAAGAGACTCCTTTGAGCGTACCTAGACGCTTTGTCGAAGAAGTTCCGCAGGTACTTCTTCTGCTCGACAAGAGGTCTGACCGTCTCAACGACTTGGTCTGCTGCCTTGACTAGGTCGGTCGTGTATGGCGATTGCCCACTGACTTGATTGACGGTCGGCCACGATGTTCGGCTAAGAGCGGCGAACGCGGGCTCGCAGTTGGTCTCGAATTCGCGAAGGAGGATGTTGATGGCCGTGGAGATGGAGCTGGGAGCGAAGGGATCAACTAAGGTTCCTCAAAGCATGAACTAAGAAAGGAATACATACCTAACGAATAAATCGCATTCGACCTGGAAGGCGATCTTGTCCTTGAACTCCGGGTTGATCTTCTCCTTCACTTTTTGTTCGAGCTGAGATGGTGCTGAGTCGTCACGCCAACTAAAGGGCAGAATGGTACGACGTACCTCAAGTGCTGTGGTTTGGCAATAGTCGGCGGTATTGATCAGCAGACACGTTTGCTTGACCAACTCTAGGTCAAGTTTCGACTCCGTAGACTTTCTTGACGAAACAGGGGGAGGAGGGCTTCAGGAACGAAAAAAAAACCCTGTTAAGAGACAGAAACCGGTGTAAAGTGTTAAGACCGGATGCTTGCCGTTTGACATTCCCCACAAGCACGTCCTCTAACAAGGGCCTTTAGTCGGCAAAAAAGGACAATCGACGAACCAGCTCACCCGCATATATCCTCAACCATTTCTTATGCAATGTGCAGAGGTCGAACAACGGCTGACCCGTAGACAGTTTAGCACATTGCTCCAGGCTCTGGCCGTAGAAGTAGAACAGGTCGGTTGAGGACAGCAACACTGTCATTGGTGAAGCACCAGCATCTTCCTCGCCAGGAGAGGCGTCTGACGATGCCCGTGGTTGGATTTTGGCTGGGGTGCTGGTGGAAGACTTCTTGCGGTGCGGAGCGAGCATATCGGCGAGGACTTTGTCTTGAGCATCGACGAAGATCCCCATGTTTGGTTCGAATGCAGCCGATATAGGTTTCCCGGGTTCGGAGTGCGGGTTGTCAGTAGCCTTAAGGATGTCCTTGATCTGGAGGGTAATCACACTTTGGGTAAGTTTTAAATGAGACAAAATGCAAATGCAACGTACTGGAGTCGCCCATTTCTTGGCCATAGATTGCTCAAACTCGGTCGTTGTTGCTAAATGTTCTAGAAGAGCCTTTACGGTAAGATTTGAACCGGCCTTGGTCAATAGTGTCGTTGTGTCATCCCTAAACTTTGGTTGAGATGAAACACCCAACATTTACAACACGCTCACCTCGTTATCTCCACGAATTTCGTAAATAAATACCAACTAACTCTCCACTCCGACGGGAAGACTCTGCCCTGTTCAATTTCATAGTTCTGGAGTAACCTCCTAAACCAAGCGAACCTCCGCGAGATGTTGTCCAGCTGCCCAGCTTCGTCATTCGTCCGGAAAATACGTCGATACTCCTTCAGCTCCATCGCCACGAATCTTTCCACGACGTGCTGCCGAACATCTTGCCCGATCACGTCCACAACGAGACACGCGTCTGAAATGAGAGATGATTTGATCTGCTTGTTCGTGTCTTGGAGGTAGCTAGAACACGCAGACAGGTAATGAGACAGAGGCCCGGAGACACATAGGTGAAAAAGGCATACAAAGCATCGAAATCAGCGTCCAGCTGTGTTCGGAGTTGGGCTTGGATTTGTTGTATTCGTTTCCAGATGCGGTTGATGTGTGGAACGGCGGTATAAGACTTGAAGGTGGACGAGATTTCCTTGATAGCCTAGCGAACGCGTTCAAGATGACAAGTGGGAGGGGAGACGTTGGAACACGAACAGATAGTGTTTGCGCCACCTCTTTATATTGCTTCTCCTTGATGAGGTCTTCTAGTTGTGTCAACGCGTTCACTGATATGACCAACATCTCATTAACACTCGAAGATGCCGCGCGGCACATAGAGAGCACACCTAACATCTGCAACCTCTTCATCATCGTCATACTTGTTATGAGATTCTTCTTCGCCAGATCCAGGACTTGGATATCCTTCGTGATATTCCTGACTACCGCCTCGGACTCCGTTGCCTTCTCCCTGATACGTGACATTTGTCCGAGTAAGTCCTGCGATAGTAAACAATGAACTTTACAATATCCCGGATATTGTAAGCAGAGGGAGATGTAAGAGACACACCGAAATCATTTCCTGAATGACCGACATTCTCTCCGGATCCTGGCTGTCCTTCAGCTCTGCTTGCAACACGTCCACTTCCTTCTGGAGTTCCTGATGCGTTTCTGCGAGTCGAGCGCTCACCGCCTCCAGGTGGGCGAGCGAAGCCTCTAGACGTCAAGAGCTGCATTAGGTACACAAATTGAACACGGAAGCGGAATTTAAACCATCTGGAAAGAAGTCATTCAGGATTTCCACCGCGTTGAACTTCTCCGAAAGGCCATCCAGTCGGTCGATTTCCTCAGTTGGTTGGATCTCTAGAACACGTTGGATAGACAGCACAACTTCGTGAGGTAACTCATCGCTGTGCATAGGTACTTTGTAAGAGAAATGCTGAATAGAGGCAGGACGAGTTGTGATGAAGCACTCCGAGTCCGTGATCAGGCCTTCAGGGCCTGGTTCAGGGGGCTTACGTAACCGAACAGAAGGTTGACTCCATTGCCCTCAATCATAATGCGAGTGAGTCGTCCTCGTCTCAATGACCATTTCTCTTTTGATACGTAAGTATAGGGTCACCGCGCCCTGGACCTCAGAGAGAACAGCGGCTGCCATCCTTCATGCTGTACGTTTGTCAACAACTTGGACGCCGTTTCCTTTCGCTCATTCAAGCATATTCTCTGCTGCCCTCGTGGAGCCGAGAGACGACACCTTGTCCGCCCTGTATAGCCAGGCTGTGACCTGTGGCCTGGTACTAGTACGTGCTCCATCTACCCTGTTTTCCTGTAGAATTGAACCTGACATCTCGTATAGGTTCGCGGTACGTCTGCCTCCGGAAAGACCGTCCTCATGGAGTTGGTACGCCAGCACATCCAATGCAAAGAAGCAGGGGCACAGATAAATATTTATCACGTCTGGCCGAATCAAGCGAGGCGCCAAAGGATATCTCTGGCCAAACCATTCAATGAGAACAATGGGAGACTTATGTTTTCGTTCGAGGATATACACTGGGGCGACGAGAACAGATCTGGAACACGGAAATGGATACTTTTGGATACAGCTCAGGCCAGCTATCACGACACCCACCTCTGGGACGTACTCACAAACAGGCCTCGTGATCTTTACGTCGTGTGCTTTGCCTCGTATGGAGGCAACATTCCTAGGGGCAGTAAGTATCGCTGGAGGCGATGGTCCGCCAATCATCATTTCGGAAGAGGGCCTCAGGCCGAGTCTTCCTGTCCAGACACGTCGCCCACAGTCTATGTTTCACTCGTAGCGAATATGACTCTTACTTGGCGATGATACGAGAGTCCTACCGCACGAATAAAATCAGAAGCGCGCCTCCGGATCCCGAACTGGCAGAGCATATCTTTTCCATCACCGCCGGACATCCAGGTTCTGTGGCAACTATGCTGATTCTGACGGACTTGGTGACGGTGAGCGAGCAAAATTTTCGGCCGGTATTATTCAAGATCTAACGAAGCAATTTAGAAGACAAGACCAAACGCTTCTGTGGAAGTCTCTCTGGACGATTTCTACAGTCTACACTCCCCAGTCGTTTTACTTCAGCGTTCGGCGTGACACTGCATTGACATACTCACGCGCGCTTCCCTTCGTTGGTGATCCCGTCGACGCAGAGGAAGTGGCAACTCTCCGAGGCTACCGCGCGAGGGGTGCTGTGCTTTCACTTTCAGACCCTCGTCTCCCTGTGCTGATGTAGCTGTACAAAAAGGGCTGGATACTCATCGAAATCATCGGCGGGACAGAGACACTTGCTATTCAACCGTCATCGCATCTTTTCGGGTCTTGGCTCACTTATTTCCTGCAAAGCCGTTCGACACTGCTAACCCAGTTTCTCGGAGACTGCAACTTGAACACATTCTGCGTGGTCGTCATCAATGGTTTTTCTCTGCCGACGCTTCAAGAGACAGCCCCTCGTGCGCCGGTTACGCCCCGCCTTGCAACGTTCGTGGACAACCTCTGGTTGAAAGAGTTTTATCGTGCAGCCAGCGTTGTCACCGACAGGGCTTTCCATGTAACGCCAGAATACTATAAGACGCCTCGAGATGGCTTACGTCTGGGCAATGTCGACTTTCTGGTCCTTGTACACGGTTGGGGAATCGAAATTCTTCGAGATGGCGAGTCCGACAGACTTGACGAACAAGGAACCCAATCCAAAACAGGGGGTGCGTACCACACCTGGATCGAGAATGGTTCTCTGCAGGAGTATGTCGTGCTTGATTTCCGCAGGTCAATGCCGAAAGCCACACGTCCGTATATGTGTCCACTTTCCTAGAATTATCTGAAGACTGAGCGGTTCGTAGCATTCCCTCATCTGCGTCACGTTGTGTTCGCCGAAGACTACTCCACCTATGCGGTTTTGGATTGTCAACTCCAACGAGTGTGAAGTGTGGCGTTGGGAAATGTCCTGACTATCCTTCCATTCTGTTTGTTTCGGGCGCTCACCGCGGCTGCGCAAGGGAAGCCTCGACTTGAATGTCTGGGGAAAAGTCATTCAAAATTTCCACCGCATTGAACTTCTCCGAAAGACCGTTCAGTCGGTCGATTGCTTCAAGAAGAAAGAATAATATCGACGGCGGAGAGGTACCAAGAGCACAGTTGAGGTTTAAGAGTCAGCACCGGGCTCAATTGCTGATGTAAGCAAGGCAACATAGCCCCTATTTTATTTCCTTTTCAGAGGACCAAAGGCTTGCACCCGAACCATCTCCTCAGAAACTTACAACGTCCTGCCCTTGCGTGTATCCCGAGAGGATAACTTCTAGCACTCGAGGGTGATGTTGTCCCCAACATCCGACACAAAGACACTCGTCGTACAAACCTACGACGGACATCCTACGTACTCTTGCGCAAAGTGTTCTGCAACTATCGTTCGTGAACCCACGGACTTTAAGGTGTTTAGGTCAAATTCTGAATTGTTTGAATCCAGGCATTGCAAGATGAAATGATCAGCAAATCATTCTCTGGGCGAGACGGACGTGGATAGCGAGTATCTCTTCGTCCTGACATGAGGACTTCGGACTAACTCTCGCGCGTTTGTTCCAGTCTCATGCAGTCTGCAACAAACGTCAAGCTAGGACGGAGAGAAGATCGCTCTTTGCTGTGAGGATACCTTCCGTCTTGTTTACGCGGGCGATTCATCGCTGGAGTTGGTAGAACTGGGGTCCATACTGTTGCAGATGTCTTCTGTCTGGGATGCAACGACCGTCTGGGCTGGTTTTATCATAAGGCGGCAGATCCTTCACAGAAGTACAAGGAAGGTAAGTGATGGCAGGTAGCCCTTGCAAGGAAATTGAACCATTTCATCACAGGGAAATACCTGCTCGAGCGCGAGAGGTTGGTGAAAGAGAATGCATGGGTCTTGGATGAGCCAACCGCGAACGACAGCAATTCTTGAAGACGAGCAGCTTTGCTTCAAGATACAGCGCGAATAGATAGATTTCAGATAGTAACAGATACAACAGACCTAAATCCAGTTATCAAGCAGGTATGATTTGAGCTCTTCAGTGACAGGCCATGCCTTTCCCTCCCGTCGTGTCGGCCAGTATGGCATCGGCATTGATAGTAGCGCCAAAGATGTAATGGCCAAGGGCAGCACCAGTGACGACAGCAGCGATGAGGTAGGCCTACGAATAAGATGCATCAGAGACGACAGACAGAACGGAGAAAAGGTGGGCTCACATTATAGGTCATGAAGACCAGCATGAGGAAGAACGAGAGAAAGACGGTGGTTCCATACACAACCGCCCTTAGAGCGCGGGATGCAGCGGGCACAGGAGTACTAGAATAGACCAGACTCAGTCGAATTCATCTTTCGGACATCTTGCCAGTGCCGCCAACTCACCCTGTAAGCGCAGTGCTCAGCAATCTGCGACCACTCAGCAAGCCTGCCTCCTCATAATTACCTTCAGGACTGTTTCTCCCACTCCTATCACGACTATTGTCTCTGCCCTTCCCCTTCTGAACCGAGACTGCGATGTGGTAGTCGAGCTTGCGCTGGAAGACGCGAAGGTACTCGTACAAAACACCGAGAGCGACGATGGCGAGGAAGGACCCTACGAATTGGGCGTTTGAGTGAATGTGCCAGCTCCTGAAGACGACGCAGGTGTCGATGATGTCTGTGTTCCTGCATGCAACGTGTTCAGGTTCGCCATCGTCTCGGCTTTATTGTGAGAAATGCGTACCAGAGCATGTTCATCTTACACCTCGCGGGTGTCATAGACATGTCGTGCCCTCCATGCCCTCCGTGGTCCATAGTGAGAGCGAAGGGGATGCGGATGGTGATGGTAGGATGGAGAGTTTGTTTAGGCTGCGGAACGGGAAAGCGGTCTCGACCGCACCGGACGGTCGTATCAATCTTTGTTTCCAACCACCATCAGCTCAGCCCGCAGATTCCATGAAGTACTCTACTCTACTCAGCCTGCAGTGAGTCGCCAAAAACAAATACTTGAAGAATTTCATTGACTGACCTTTTTCCGGCCAGTGGGGAACCCATCAACATTTTTCTGCGCAATGTGGATCGACGCCAATGGCGAGACAAAGGCCGCTACACATTTTCCTAGGTCCCAGTGTGCCCCGTGGTCAGCTATCTGATTCGCCAACGCACACCAGTTCGTTCTTGGTCTTCAAAAGACGATTTCGGGATCGCCAAGCCGGACAAAGGGATTTCATCAACTCGAGGAAGGCTATGAAAGCACGCAGGAAGCGTATGAGTAGTCACTGAGCTGCTTTCATCCCTCAAAGCAACATAGCTATTTAACCTCTTGCCTTCCATGGCAGAAACTCACAACAAAGATGCCCGGCCTAACCGACCTTGCCACTGAACTCTTCTACGAGATTTCCTCCCATGTAGGTTGAGTGCATCTTCACGCGATTCGGCTCTTACTCATGCGCAATTGCAGCTCGACGAACACGCCAACAGAACCCTGCGGCTCGCCTCGAAGAAGTTATGCGCTGTCGCTTCCTCTATTGCGCTTTCGCAGCTCAAGATCGACTGTCAAGCCTCCCTAACAAAGACAGTGCAGAAATTAGAAGCCTACGGGACACGTTCTACGAGGGGTGCCGACTACGTTAGCAAAGCCGTCATACTGTCACTATCCCCGAAGGAGAAGACCCCAACTCTCGAAAGCATTGCTCGGTCGATCCATCTCGGGCTTCAGCTGACCCCAGCGGACAAGACGTTCCTCGAGGCGAAACTCTTGACCAAGTTTACCTCTGCGTTGTTCGCCTTGAAGGATGTGCGATCCATCTCGTGAGTTGTTCCATGATTATTGCTGTTCCGACTCCCGTCTGACCCCTTCTGTAGCTGGCATACGAGCGCGACGGATCCCTCATGGGCTTTCAAGGCTATCTACGGCTATGTAGTCGCCCGCAAGGTCCCGGTCTTCCACGTTGACTTTACAGGAGGTTTCCACCTCGATTTGACCAATTTCGACCGCATCACCTGTCTTCGATGTTTTTCGTTCACCAATCTTCCCGAGTCCAAGCCTATTTACAATATTCGCCTCCTTCGAGCGGCGGCCAAGATCATTCACAATAGCCCCGACCTCGAGAGCCTCGAAATCTCAACTGCCTACAAGGAAGCCATCGCCGATGCGCCGACCGTGAGCCACCTCCTCCGGGGTGATCTACCCCCTCTCTCGCTCAAGCACCTCAGCGTCTGTAGACTGCGTTTTCCCCTTGACGACAGCATCCTCCCGCACTTCCGCTCCCTCAAGTCTCTCAGCGTCCATCACAACTTCGATGGGGCCCGGTCGGATATCTGGGACACCTTGAAGGACGAGAAGATCCATCGACATCAACGTCAAGGATGTCAACAAGGCGTTCCTCGACTACCTGAAGTACTCGGGTCTGCAGGAACTCGTGCTCGACAACCGCGACAGGGTGTGGGCGAACATGTGGAATCTCGACCCGTTCTATTCGAAGACCCTGCCGTGCCATTCGAAATCGTTGTTCTCCGAACTTAAACACTCAAGCCGAGCGAGTGGTGCTTAAGCGACCATGCTGTTGGCTCAATTTCAATGTGTCGATTGCTTTGGGAGGAAGGAAGGAAGGGAAAACATGTAAGTCGCCTGTCTCTTTTTTTTACATACATACTTAGAATTGACATGCGTCGATTAGGAGCGAGTCGACAAACTCTCTGCTCAACTTCTACTACTCCATTCTTTTGAAGTCGTTCAGGCCATTTGAATTACACTGTAGATGTATTACAGTTGTATTTGTAATTACTTATTCGAACTTTGTCTTCATAAAGTTGAACGTCGAGCGCTGTTTGTTGTTATGCTCGGCTTGATCATCATCCGCGACTCGGATGACCAAGGTCAACTCTTCCACCGTCGACCTCTCGCACTCGTGGTAGATGTCCATGTTTCTCGTTAATCCCAGCACCCTGAGCAACAGTGGTGCCGACGTCATATAAAAGCGGTGGTTATCTCCGCACACCATTCAATAAATCCTGGGCTTTCACTGCCAAAAGCCTGTGCATCTCACCTGTCGATTTCCAATTCCCAGACATAAAAAGGGGCGAAATGTACGTCCATTTCTTGGTTTTATTGCTCTCCTCTTACCTTTTACTAGGGATTACCACTCAATTCACCGCGAGCTGCAGAGCAATAGCGGTATCCGCGAGCCAACACGATCGACATCCCTTGCCGCGGCGAACAGCATGGTCGACAATAGCAACCCCTCCGTTTCGACGGCCATGCAGGTACTCGACTCCCTCTCAGACATAGGGAGAGCCATGCCGTTCGTCGCACCCGCCTTTATCCTCCTCAAAATCATCATCGACATTGAGCAGCGTGCACAGGAGGTTGACGCGAAGTGCTCCGACCTCGTCGAGCGCATCACGTTCATGATTAGCCACCTGCCCATCCTCGAGAAAATAGAAATCATGCCCAGCACGCGTCAGGTCATTGAGCGGATGAACGAAGCTATCAAGTCGGCCGCTGCGTTGATTGCAGCGTACCGCAAGCAGAGCCGCGTCGCGCGGAGACTCAGCATCTCCAACCGCGAAAAGTTCACCCAGTGCGCGGAGGCGATCAACATCTGCTGCCATGACCTGCTCATGAGCCTTCAAATCCACCAGAGCACGCAGCTGGAGATCCTGACGCGTGATGTGCCCATTGACGACGACGACAAGGCGGCACAGACGTTCGTGGAGGAGCATGGAGGAAGTGTGGATGCTGTGATGTACGACCGCGAGCTGGTGAAAGAGTTCGCTCAGCAACAGCATCTGGTCATGGACGATTCAGTCATGGAGCAGCTCAACCAGAACATTGCCGACAGCGTCCAGCAAAACCAGCAACGACTTGAAGGCATCCTCCAAGATAATATCAAGACAGCCATTGCGGACAGTCTGAAGAGCATCGTCGCCGAGATGCACGCCTCAGAGGCGGAGCAAAGGTTCAATTGCGTTCAATGCGACAAGGAGTTCACGAATTCTACCAATGGTCCCAAGGCATGCTCGTACCACAGGGCAGAATATGACTCCTGGTCGCGCTCCTTCCCCTGCTGCAGCACCTCCCATCCATGCCAGTTTGCAGCCCACCGATCGAAACTTCATTGCGATTACCCATACGGCAATTTCTTCCCTCGTTCTCGCGGGGTCCTCAACTACACTGACACCAATGAAGAATGGGCGTCCGTCGAGGATACCAATTTGGAGACTGACGAAGTCCAGAAAGCATCTGTGGGCCAGCTGTACCGTTGGGTATCGCGCGGTGCCAGAGTCGAAGAAAACACCCTCCTTATCACCGTCGGTCGGGTCTGGTACAAGTACCCCTACTACTTTAACACCTTCACGGCAAAGGAACTTGAGGACATCACCAAATCTGTTCGACTTTCTCGTCGAACACTTATCTTCCGAACGTCCTCAGATGAGAACGAGTACGCCCTCGCCGAATGGATCCTCTCAATTTCTGGCAAGATCACTGGCGTCCGTCTCACAGCAAAAGCAGCGACTTCGCCTCAGCCCTACATCCGTGTCTGTCCAATCGACCTGGCGTCATGTACCCGGTCAGGCGACATCCTCACGCTCTCGGAGGGCGGCATGCGGTCCTACACTCCGGCCAGCCCATACGTCCTCCCATCCACCGTCCGCTTCGGGCCCGAGCTTAACGACGAGCCCGCTCGCGCCGTCCGGACCAACTTCAAGACCCGAACGAGCTCACCAGGCCTCCGAGTCGTCCTCAAAGCAGCATCTGACCCACCTCTCGAGCCCAACCCCAACCTCGCCAGCACCCAAGTGGACTACTTCCAGGGTAAAGTCTCGGTGTTTAACAACCATCCGGCGGGGTCGCTCAACCCCATCACTATCGCCGCCGTGTCTGCGTCCTACCGAATGGTTGGTGATGCTGACTACCTGCCCGTCGAGGCGTGCAAGATCATCGACGGGACTGCACTTCCGCTCAGCGTTGACCCGCGGCAGTCCTTCCAGCTCGCCTTCGAGGTCAGTGTTTCCCGCACGCCCGAGGATGCTAAACACGAGATCAGGTGGTGGAACCGTGCCTACGTCAACAGGAAGCGGCCTGTGCGCATCAAGCTCACGCTGGAGGACATCGAAGGCGAGACCTGCTCCCTGGTCTTCGAGCACGTCTTTAAGCCGTTCAGGCTGGAAAAGCAGAACGCCGAGAGGGATATTGGGTTTTTCTTCTTTGACCACCCGGAGACGTTAGATCGGTGCTATGTACACGTCGAGGAGGTCGAAGGAGATTCCTCTGGGATGGTGGTCAAGATAGGCAGCAACGAGACCAACGTGAAGCGGCTGAACAAAGTGGTCTATCAGGCGTTGAAGACAGGAAAGACGGAGGTGGACCTTGAGGTAGGGCAGGAGAGGAACGACGGCGAATGGGAGTGGGCCGCATATGCCCTCGTCGACATCTCCTGCCGGCGCGTATATGCGTTCAAAGTCATCGTCCAGCAAGGCAAAAAGGTTGACGTAAAACAGTTTGGATGCCTGGGGTATGTGGAATGCCCAAGCTATGGTGACGTGCTGGGTAAGACTCGCCCGATCAGCTACGCTACAGAAAGCGCGAAGCTGCACCCCCTGCAGCCTTACACCCCGCCGCAGTATGTTCAGGATGATAACCTCGACGACTTCAAGCCTCCTGTTCCGCCCAAACCTGCAACGCCAGTCACTGAGGTGCCTCCGGCTAACGGTGTGAACGGTGGTATTCCTGTGGATGTCAGTAATCGGTTGGCCTCGATCGACATCAACCTTGCCAGGATAGCAGACGCTCTGGAGAAGCTCGTAGCTGTCTTGCCCAACGCTGCCAGGTAGTGTTTATGTTTTTTTACACAATATACCCCTTTGTTGTATAGTTGAAATGTAAATAAATCTTATCCTAAGAGCTGCTTGAGATTAAAAATTTGATGCATTGAGAGTAGAGCAAAGAAATACAGCAGAACCGGTGGGTGGTTAAGCAGACTTCATCTCCGTATCTTCGTCTTTCTTCGTCAACCCTTCTGATACGAGCAGGGCATCGATCTCAGACGGTCGATAGATCTTGGCTTTGGGCTGCTGAGTTGCAGGATCGAGCGTCAGAACCGCAAATTCGACTATCCAAACCAACGATCAGTTACCACAAATTCACAAGAAAAGAGTGAATGACGTACGCTTCTCGCTCCCCAACGTCGTGCTGTCCATCGTCTTGCTCATCGTCCTCAACACCAGCCCAATCGCATCTTTTATCTCGATGTCATCCTTGTACTCCTGCTTCAACAAGCTCTGCGCTGTGCCGTTGTTTGCCCCGATGCACGTCGCCTTCCACCCAGAGTAGTTGCCTGAGGGATCAGAATGGTAGAGTTGGAATTTGTAGTGGGGGTCGTAGCCAGCGTAGAGCAGGGAGACGCCGAATGGTCGTAGACCTAAAGGGCGGGTATGAGGTTAGGCAAAAGGAGGGTGATAGATGAGCACAGACCTCCGAACTGTGTATAACCCTGCTTCATGTCGCACATTCTTTGGGCGAGCACCTCCACGGGGATGTCTTCGTTGTAGGTTAAGAGATGTCTCTGGGCCGCCGTTCGTGCATAGTTGACCAGCGAGTTGGCGTCTGCCGTCAGGCCTGCAACGCCGCCGATGACATTTCTAATGAGCGGTCTTTGATCAGGGACCGGACTACAGTCAAAAAATTAGGGACGCACGAGTTCAACAAGTAGATCTTCTCCCCGCTTCCACCATACCCTCCCTCCTTCGCGCTCGACAAATCCAGTAGCTTTCCAGTGACCTTCTTTTCAGCGGCCAGAACGACACCATCCTTCGCTAGGACGCCTAGCACAGTTCCGGCATGCGAGATGGCCTCCATAGCATATTCGACTGTTCAAAGATTGAGTTTCTTAACCAACGTGGGCCCTCCGATGGTCTCACTTTGATAGAGCCGTCCTGTCGATATGTATTGAGCCTTTTGAATGACAGAATGCACAAATCACTGACCTTCAGGCGAGAAGATCGTTGTACGGCCTGATCATCCGTGCGCGTAAGCCAAGGCCCTATGTTCGAGATCTATGCAATGCTTACTGTCATAACGTCTGGCCTGAGTTGCATACTCTTTTTAGCTAGTTATTTAAATGATAAATATTAGACATACCATTGTGGATGAGGGAATACGAAGAGATAGGTGATGGTAAAGAACTGGGAGTGACGCGTCGCTGTTCCCAAAAAGCACACGCGTCGCATTTCGGCAATTGCCGAATGGCTCTCTTTCTTGAACTTCGTCTACAAAGTCGATGAACCACTATTGCGAGCTCGTCTAACGATTGTTTGGGGAACTAAACTTTTAAAGTCTAACTAATTCTATAATATGGTCTTGAGGATTTCTTTTCTTTCCAACCTGTCGCTTTGCGAACTATCTCGTCCTATCGAACACCCTGAAAGATTACACACTCTCTCTATCAGCTCTTTGGAAGGCCAGCTTCAAACTTTACCGGCTTTATTGACAACACATCTAAAAGCATTCGTGCATCAGTGACTTTATGTTACACCGTCGAGATATATTGCCATTACAATGTTGCAGCTCGGATTCTTTACCCATATGTATATTGACCAACATTTATCCCAGCTCCCCGAGGGTCCCTGTGTCTCCCTTCTGTCCTATTCTCATGCAATCCGCGTTTTATGTTCATAATCCTCTCATAGACCACAATCGTATAAGATGGCGTCGCGCGGTATTGAGGTGCGACCGCAAATAAGCGCCGGTCTCGGTATTACTCTAGTTCTTTTTGGCCTGCTCGATTTGGCTCAGCGCCTAAATTAAACCTTTGCACCCGAGCAGCTATTTGTCCGCGCACCGTCCTTCTCGAGAGAATTTCCTAGAACGCCAGGCCGGGATAGACGAGGAACAGACGCTAGCTAGTGCTCTGTAATTTCGACTGGTATCTAAAGTGGGCGTTCTGTAGGCAATCAAGCCTTCCGCAACCGGTTAGCGTTATTAGAGCGTATCTTGGCACTCTAATGCTAGCAAGGTCCACTAAGTAAAATAAATTAGCTTCAGCAAGCGGTTGTAGGTCCACAACGTGCGGTACCGCCGTCGGCATGCGAGCCCTCGGATATTTGGAGTGCTACGCCTACACTTGCTTCCGCTCCCGAGGCCCTATTGGACGCGAGAAAACAAGAAATCAGCACACTAACTCTTGACGGCTCCTGGCGTTGCTTCCGATCCACGCCATCCTCCACCAGGATGAGAAAAGCGGGTTCCCGTTACAAGACTTCAGATTCACGTTCAGGCGGAACCCGACACTGTTGCATGCGCTGAATGCTATGATTTCGGAGGGTTCCATGCGGGTATGTCGCACCTTTCTCTATTCTTGTGACTGAACAGTGGGGCATGAGCGCTTGCGAAGGAAGGGAGGATCTGTCAAAATGAATTATAATTTCTCAGCCGACGGTCGTACAGACACCATATGAAACTTCAAAGATGAACATTGTAGGTCATTCGGCGATCGGTGAATCCGCACATACCACCTCAGCCTGTACAGTGAGGTTTAATGCGGGCTCAAAGTCTATACGTGTTGCTTCCTTCTCAAGATTCATGCCTATTACTGAATTGTTCGACTACGCCTTAGGAACGGTGGCTCGTGGTGGACGCTGACGGCGCCAGGAGGCGTATGGAGCTGTCAGCGAGGCGGAGGTAGGCTGGCGCTATTAGGCTAAAAGCTGACACAAATAAGGATACTAGGATTGTGTCAAATGTGTGTCTTGCAACTAGCTCAGAATCAATTGAGAGATCACCGAGGAAACGACGAGGAGCGACGCGAAAGGTCACTGTATGAAATCGAAATGTAAGGGAGAGGAGGTAGCGCGCCGATGACCCACCGTCTTGACACACCTGCCGCTGTATCGTCCCCGCTCTGCTCGCGTAGCGCAAGCGCGTCCGTATTTCTAGCCATCTAAAAATAGCCCACGCCATACGCGAAGAGCAAATTCCTCCGTCCTAGAGACCGTTAGGGGCATTTGAAGATCCTATGTTATTGTGGACAAAAAGAAACTTAAGAGGGGCTTTAGCGTTTTGGCGAGTGGGATTGGCGTGCGTAATAGGTGTGCGTCAGGCTGTGCGTGGTCGAACTTGGGGACGGCGCGAAAGGCGCTCGAGGGAAAGACATAAATCGCCAAAACAGTCTTGAACGTTTGAATGAGCCTCCTCATCTGTTGCACTATGTAGCCAAGCCTCCCCGAATCAAAACGTCCAACGTCACCGTCAGTCTTCAGATAGCCTCGACGTTGGTATTAATCCTGTACCGTCGGTCAACTGTCGGCGGCTCGGTGCTGCGATGTGAAAGGTACCGCTCGTTTTACGATAAGTACACACGTGGCTGTTTGCTCAAGACGTCAAAAATTCTAAAAGCGGGCGATGCCGCCCCTAGGACTTTTGCTGAATGAAATTCTCTGGAGGCTGAGTTCCTGAAAATATTACCAAGGCGGGGTGCGAGAGTAGGTCGGCGTTGCGAACAGGAAACATAGAGTATTAAGACCGTAGTATACAAGTAATGCATGACGGCGGCCTAGCAGTAAGTAGCTTGAAGTCTTGAATTTCCCTGGCGTACGAATATTTATGTTGCGAGATGGCGCACACCGCCGGCCATGAAAAACGCTTTGTGCCTCACAAGATATTCATGGATTCGAGGCCGCTTCGAGGCTGTCCGGCCACGGCCGCCCTCTGCCCTCCGCGTCCGAGTCAAATTATAATTCCTTCCGTTCCGCCGCCTACGCGTCGGGCGCGTTCGCTCGATCGGTGAGGTTCTGGGTGGTACCCCGGACACTGGTCGGTTAGTCCATACATATTATGGCACCTCGACGATGATAGTCCAATGTTTGGGCCTGGATAGGTGGGATTTGACGTACGGCAGTAGGGCCCGACGAAGGGAGGAATTACTTAGGTCGAGGGCAGGCGATGTCTTGATCAAACACGCTCGTACCTCCTCCGGGTTTCTTTGACATATTCATGTGCCCAAATTCACCAGTCAGCGACAGGATCAAGATACGCGGAACGGTTGGTGTTCTGTCCAATCTCAACCAACGGAATGGGACTCATTTCGTGATGAAGCGGTGCAGGATGAACACCGAACAATCATGATCGAGAACGCAAGATAAGATTGATCAGCGACCGCATAAATAGGTCGCGGTGGGGTTCAGGCGACGATGCAAGCAATAATAGGGATAAAACATTACAACAGCAACGCACGATGATGGTCAGTACACTTAAGTAAGTAGGTGAGGGAGAGATGTATGGGGGAAGGAGGAAGCGAAGGGAGGGAGAGGTGGGTGTTCGGTGGTGGCGTGTACAGTTTAGTGCTTCATCTGCACGTCAGCGTCCTCTTCATCGTCGTCCTCTGTGCCCTGCAGGCCGGCCTTCTCGAGCGCCTCTTTGGAGGTGTAGTCGACCTTGACACCGCGGGTGCGGCGCCCGACGATCGCGCTGGGGTCGATCTCTTCGTACTCTTCTTCCTGTGAAGCCGAGATGGACCATCAGTCACGAAACGGAATGAGGTAGAAACAAAAATAGAGCGGGGGAGCCGTAAGAACGCGAAGAAAAACGCGTCTAGGACGAGGGAGACAGGATGAATGCAAAGGGACGCGTCACCCACCTCATCCTCGGCCTCGTCGTCAGAACCCATGGCCTCATCTTCATCCCCTTCCTCTTCTTCTTCCTCTTCTTCCTCATCTTCGATGCTCACGTCGGCGGCTTTGGCCTTGCCTTTGCCCGAGGACGATGCGATGCCACCAGGTGTAGCAGAGGCAGTGTTTCTGCGCGCAAAACGCGTCAAAACCCTGCTTTAGCCATTGTATGGGGATGAAATGGCTTACTTGTCGTTGGTTGGGTCGGTGACGCTGGATGACATTGTGGAATGGATGATTGGGACGCGACGGTGGTGGTGGGTAGAGTGAAAGAGGGCGTTGGTTGGACTTGTTTGCTTTCCTTCAACGTTTGTGTCACGCTTCCTACGGTGTACGTAACGACATATGTGACATTCATCACACCTTCATCTCCAAGTAGTATAATGTAGTAAGTTACCGTCGACGAAAGAAAGGGTGAAGCTCCTAGTGAAAAGCTGCTCTAGAGGGTGGGATGCGGTTGAGAGTTTTAACTTTGGGACAAAATCTGACCTATTCTGGCAATTCCAGGTTGCGGACCGGAGGTATCTTATCTCGCGTGCATGGTCTGTGCGCCCTCGACGCGTCGACGCGTTGTTCAGTTTTCTTATATACCAGACTTCTAGTTTTCGTCCTCATCTCCTCTCTCTTCCTCCCCCCATCTTCCAAGTTCCCCCCTCTGCTCCGCCGAACCACATCACGCCCGTCCACCGCAACCCTTTCTGCCTCTATGAATCTACACCGATAGTGCTACCAACGTAACAAGCGTCAGGTGGCTCTTTCAGACAAGTACCAGCTTCTGTGGCACTATACTAGCACTCTTACGCGCATATATGAACTCGAGGTAGCCTGTAGGTTGCGGGATGGTTGCCTCGCACCCTTCCCTTCTACTTGCAAGGTTCTTACTTATTTTTCTGCCAATAGGCTTGCCGCTTGAAAGAGTGGGGTGATGGGCACCTGCCTTCGTCCTTGATGAACAGACTACGGGACGGAGGCTGGAAACATAATCTCAGCAGGCAAATTCAAAGCAATGGAAAAATCCTCCCTCAAGGCCATTCATCTTCGATGCATTGTCTCTCATCCTCGTTGTTGGTGAGGTATTTCCGTGCCTCCTTTTGGAACCCACCCCCGCAATCTCTTGGATTTTTGCTTGTAACCGTCGCACCAGGAAGCTCTTGCCATTCGGCGTCCGCCAAAGTGCCATATTTCGGTCTCAAACCCGCAGCTTCCCACAATGGAAATGTTTTTGCAGTCTATTGCGCCACATCAATTTCTGGTGCTTCTGGACACGTTCCGGTGCGAAACCGCATGGTGGCACAGCGTCGGCGGACCTCACACCTCGTCTAATGGCCAGTATTTCTCCCGCACAGGTCTCAAATCCGCAAATTCGCAGCCTCCAAGCTTCCTGGAGCCCATTTGCTCTGGCCTTTCGGGGCATACGAATTTTAGGTCTTCAAGTTGGGATTATATGCTCCTTTCTCGCCCGAAATGCTAACAGTGACTGCGGGTTAGTGCGGCCAGAGCTGTATTTTTCGCTCGTCTATCTCTGCCCTCAAACCCCTGCCCAGATTTGGACAACTTCCGTCGCGTAAATGTTTCTCTCACGGACTGACATTCCCAGACCCAGAGAGTTCCTGTACCATCTGGTATCTGGCGTGATGGGGTCCTCCCCTGTCCGCATTGCGCATGGAACTGGGACATGCGGACCACCATCACCGGTGGACGAATGTGTTTGATCGTGATGTTTCCGGATTACCTCAGCGGTGCTATCCATTTCAATATGTCGGCAGCGCAGAACCTCCTGGTTGTGATGCTCCCCTTCCTGCTCCTCCGGCTTCTCTCCACTGGTTTAGTGCCGCTGGCTGTCATCATCCCCACTTGAACCACAACGTAAACCAGCGCGATGATGAAGGACCAGCCAGGAGCCCGTCTCCGCTCTAATTCTGCTGTTGAACCGTCATCTTCGGCACAGCAGCCCCTCTCGTCCCCTCGCATGTCCATCCTCCCCGCCGTAAGGCTCCCCTCCCTGCGTCGCCAGGATGATACGCCCCCGCCCCACCAGAAGACATCCCTCCTCGCAGCCACATTATCCTCGAACACCTTCCTCGACACCATTGTCACGGAAGAGACCTCCGATGAGACGCTCTACCAAATCAAGACCGTCGGCACCTCGACCACCGTGTCTCGAACCGACCGCAGGGAGGGGAGCGTCACGGCTGCTTCGATAAAGTGGCCGAGGATGCTCCCGCTCAAGACGAAGGGCAAGGAGTACAGCGATGGTGTGCTCATCCAGATGCGGGGGTCGCGGTGGAACGGCGGCGAGACGCTCTTACGGCCGCCTGTAGGCCACAGGTGCGTCTATTGGCTTCTCTATTATTTCGCCGCTCACAACCTCTGTATCCAGCTCGACACGCAAGTTTAACATCCCCGACTACCCCCATCCCATGAAGTGGAAAGCGTACGGGAATACCTACTGGGTGAGTGAGCCGCGCTCGCAGTGCATCAGCCATCGAACGCATTACCCCCCAGTGCACGACACCTTCCGTGAAAGGCCCAATCGCCATTCTCGACCTCGCAAGAGGGCAAGACCCCACCCGGCTCACCGTGTTCGAGACCCTGCACGACAAGTACGACCCCAAGGCGCTCTCCGCCGTGCAGGGCGTCTCCATCCTCCTCCTCGACTACATCCTCGTCACCGCCCTCCTCCTCGTCACCGACCTGCAGGAGTGGATGCTTGTGCGCAGGTTCGAGGGGAACCATCTCACAATTATGTCCTCTGGTACGGGAGTGCAGGGCCCGAGCTCGGCGCCGGACATGCCACCTGCGAGCGACTCGCAGTGGCGGAAGATCATGTATGGCGAGCCAATCTTCCCGAAGCTGTCGAGCGAGCTGCGGTCGAAGAACTCACGGACGTCGTTGTCGACCTCGCCTACGACCCCCGCGTTGCCTCGCACACCGTCCTCGCCGGGCGCACCGGGGTTCCCATATTCCGAAGACATAGATGAGTCGTCGAGCCGGAAGATGATCACGCCCTCGTTAGTGGACGACGACGACGACGACGACGACGATGACGATGACGATGACGACCTGTTCCCGCTGGCCGACACGCGCCCACAGAGTCCCTCGGCAGAGTCGATACACTTCTCAGGCGTCGCACCGTCGCACACGTATATCGACCCCTCGTTCTACGGCTCACCCCTGCGCACGCGTCCGCCTGTCCCGCCCCTGCCCAACCACGTCCCACCACCCGTACCAGGGCAGTACGCACGCTCACTGAACGGGAGGAACTTCAGCTCGCAGCCATCTACGCCGCTCTCTGCAACCTTCGCGCCGCCGCCTATGCCCTCGACACCGCAAAGCCTAGGCCGCCCGCACTCGCAGGACGACAACAACAGTCACCGCTCGTCGGGCAGAAGGAGCTCACGCTCGGACAGCATCCGCTCGACGACGTCGTACGTGAGCCAGTCTGGGACGTCGAGGCGGCGCCCGCTGCCCCGCCCACCACCGGTGCCGCCGATTGACAGCGCGCCTCCGATGACTCCTATTACTGCGCTGACGATCACAGCGACGGAAGGGAGGGAGGGGGACGGGATGAGGATGAGGCGCGTTCAGAGCTCGGGGCAACTCCTGAGCATAAACAGGCCGACATTTGGAAGAGACACGCCGCCGCGGCCGCAGCGCTCGCTGCCGCCGACGCCGCACAATGCCGAACCGTGTGTCGGTGTCGGCGTCGAGCCCGTCAATGTCGTCCAAGCGCATGACCATTCCCCCTCCTCCCACCACGCGCCTGCTCTTCCCGAAGAATCCGACCTCGACCTCGTCGACCATACCCTCCTGCGCACGTCCGACGCCGAAGCGCATACCCGACGCCCGCCCATCACCAAAGCCTCCCAGGAGGATCTCACACAGTGGGTCCACCTGCTCACGAGCCCCCAGCGCGACCTCCCACCGTCGCCGCTCCCCAGTACATCCATCTACGACGTGCCCCCGCCGGCGTACTCGACGATCAATTTCTCGAGTGCGAACCCCCAGAATAGGCCGCCCGTGCCGGCGACAGTGGCGTATCCGAAGGTGGGCAATGGGGTGTAGCGCGGCTCGTGGACCCAGGACCCTGGGTGTTGGGTGTTAGGGTGTAGGGAGTGTGGAGTTGTCGTCGCTTCAGAAGCGCCCCGAGAGGTGGGCGCGCTGCGGTAGCTCGTCGTCGTGCGCGGCTATACCGGGGTGCTCGTTGTTCAAGGAGGCTCATTCATTCGTCCAGGTATATCTACCACGGGATTTTTCTTCGGTTTTCAGTCAGTCAGGGTCTTTCATCCTCCGACAAATTATAAGCATCTATTCATTCGAAAGTTCCATCCATTCTTTTCGTTTTCGATTACCATTTGCCCTAATTTCGCGAGTGGCCTGGTGTGCCGCTCGTTGCTTTCATTCACACTCTCCATCTGTTCATATCCCTGATCATGCTCACTGCTGTAACGCATCACCATCTTCTCTGTCTTTTATCTCTCTCTACCAAATGTATCGCTAGAACCCCCTCCGTATTTCTAAAATTATTTCACCTCCAATGCTTATCTATATACATTTCTGACACTCCTTGCACCTCGCACACTCCCTTTCCCTGCAGGTTTCCTCTCCGGCTGTTCGGTCTTCATTCGCCTTTCTTGCATACTTCGATCTTTTCACCCATTTTCTTTTGCATTTTTTCCCTTGTCAACAGGCCATATTATACCAGTACTAGATGTATTCGACGACAAGTTGTGCATCAGAGTCATCCTTCATAAT